AGAATGAAATTAGGTTCAAGAACTGAGGTTCCACTGTACACAGACTGGGTAACTTATCAACAGAGATCTATTTCTCACAGTTCTGGAGTGGGAAGTCTGCAGTCATCTTCTGTTGTCATATGTTCATAAGGCGGTAGGGGCCTGGGAGCTCTGTGGGATCTGGTTTATAAGAGCATTAATCCCATTAAAGAGGGCTCCACCCTCATGATCTAATCACCTCCTAACAGCTCCACCTTAATCCCATCATGCTGGGAGTAAAGATTCCAACATGCATTTTGGCAGTACATTAAGTATTCACACCATGGCAACTATAGTCCACTTCTAATAACCTTAAATTTACTTCTTGGTATAAATTTGAGGAACAGCTCCTCCTGGAATTAGGAGGCAGGTGGGGGGAGAGGGGGAAGAGAAAGGGACTTCTTTCCTAAAGAAAAACCAGAGAGGAGACAAATTACAGCCCTTATTGCCACAGCAGGGCCTCCATTGATCCTGTCTTCCTCCTCCACTGTTCTAAATTTCTCTCACCTTCACCTAGCACCACTATTGGTCCTCAGTGGCTTACCTAGTGGCACCACCCAGACAATTTCTGCAGGAGGTCTGAGCCCCTGGTTTTTATGCCCTTTTCAGACTGGCTGCTAAACCTGTCTGTAGACCATAACATTAGGCAAGAAGTACCCAACCAGACCACTTGGGTACCATTTCTCCTTGCCTTCATTATGTAATAGCAGTGATCAGGGTATGTAACAGCAGTGATCAGGGTCGATTATTCCTGCCAACACTGACTCCTCTCTGCATGCTGTCTCCTGGCCAAAGTGCCCAGGTAAAATTTCAGTGGGACTCTGCCTACCCTGGTGAAAACATCCCCCCTTTTGGAAATCAAACTGTCAACCCGGGGAAGCCAGAGTTGCAGAGACCAGAACAGTTTCCCAGCAGGGAAACTCTAGCTTCCACCTGTGTGTGATCTACCTAACCCAGCAGCAGAGGCAAGTAAGTCATGGACTTAGTGTATGTGGCAACTGAGGCGCTTTGCCTATGAGCTAGTGCTTTAGTTGTTCCTTCAAAGGGTGTTCCCCTGCACTGTCAGGCTGACAGCTCTACTGGTCTTTCTGACCAAATTTCCACAATCATGTGCCCACTCCCAACCTCCTTTGTTGTAAAATGGTTCCCTTGCTCTGACACAGCGATACAGGACACCAGTACATCAAACACCATGAGCAGGAAAGGCATATCTATATCCATAAATCGTGAACATGTGCCTATTCCTGTCAAAACAAATGGCTGCTCCTTCTGGGATGAGCATTGTGGTCCACTTGCTAAATAGTTGATTGGTCTCCTTAAAAGTATATTTAGCCGAAACCAGTTTGGCTCAGTGGATAGAGCCTTGGCCTGTGGACTGAAGGATCCCAGGTTCGATTCCGGTCAAGGGCATGTACTTTGGTTGCGGGCACATTCCCAGTAGGGGGTATGCAAGAGGCAGCTGATGGATGATTCTCTCATCGATGTTTCTCTCTATCCTTCTCTCTCTCTCTGTAAAAAAATCAATAAAATATATATTTTTAAAAAATAAGGAGAAAAAGTATAGTTTGCTAGGGTGCTATAACAAAATGGTACAGACTTGGGGGCTTAAACATTTATTTTCACAGTTGTGGAGGGGAAGATCAAGATCGGTGTCAGCACAATGGCTTTCCTTAGTCCTCCTCTCTCCTTGGCTTGAAGCCATTTTTTTTTTTTAAGCATCTTTTTTTTTTTTTTTTAAAATATATTTTATTGATTTTTTACAGAGAGGGAGAGAGCTAGAAACATCGATGAGAGAGAAACATCGACCAGCTGCCTCCTGCACACCCCCCACCGGGGATGTGCCCGCAACCAACGTACATGCCCCTGACCTGAATCGAACCCGGGACCTTTCAGTCCGCAGACCGACGCTCCACCACTGAGCCAAACCGGTTTCGGCAGCTTGAAGCCATTTTTATTTCTGAAACTTTGTGATGTTCTTCTCTGAAAGCTTTTAGGTCTCTACCTGCATTGCTCTGAAAGGTCCCATGATGATCTTGAATGAGCATCCTTGGACAAGTCTTTGTAGTATGAGTACTTCTGTAGACTAGACTATTAGAAGCGGAAATGACACAAACTATGTGTATTTTGAAATATAACAGGCACTGCCAAATCACTCAAAAAGATGGTAAACTTGCACTAACCATGTATGAGATTGATTCCTTCTACTGTATCTTTAAAAAAAAAACATTTAAATTTTTGTTTTTGTCTTTATTGATTTCAGAGAGGAATCAAACATCAATTACAAGAATGACCAGCTGCCTCCTGCATGCCCCACTATTGGGGATCAAGCCTGCAACCCAAGCATGTACCCTAATGGGAGTTGAACCCTTGGTTCATAGTAGATGCTCAACCCCACCAGACAGGCAACTTTGTCTATCTTTAATCTTTAACCTTTAACAATTTGATGGATAAAAAGGCCAGTTGACTATAAATTCACTGCCCACTTTAAAAACTGACATCTTTTTTTCATTTAAATAGGATTTCTTAGTATATTAGTGACATACCCAGCTTTAAATCATCACCTGAGGATATGTTTGATTTTATTTTTTATTTAAAAAAATATATATATATATTTTTATAGAGAGGGAGAGGGATAGTTGGAAACATTGATCAGCTGCTTCCTGCACCCCCACCACCACTAGGGATGTGCTTGCAACCAAGAATCGATACATACCCTTGAGACCAGAATTGAACCTGGGACCCTTGAGTCCGCAGGCCCACGCGCCAAACCGGTTAGGGCTGTTTGATTTTAGAGAGAGGGAGAGAAAAATTTATCGGTTGCATCCCAGATGCACCCCAACTGGAGATTGAACCAAAAACCTAAGTATGTACCCTGACTGGAACCCACAACCTTTTGGTGTACAGAAACACACTACAACCAAATGAACACACCAGCCAGGGCAGTGACAAACACTTCTGTCATTTGTTTTGCAATTTCAATTAGGGAAGTTTGTCTTACTGCTGTTGGATAAGAATGCATTATCATTTTTTTCTACTCTTTTTCATTAAAAAAAAAAAAATACACATATACACACACATATACACCAGAGGCCTGGTGCACGAAATTCATGCACTCAGTGGGGAGGGGTCCCTCAGCTCAGCCTGTGCCCTCTTGCAGTCTGGGTGTCCTTGGGGGATGTCTGCCTGCAGGCTTAGGCCTGCTCCCTGTGGGGATTGGGCCTAAGCCAGCAGTCAGACATCCTCTCCCAGTCCAGGACCCATTGCTCCTTACTGCTCAGCACACTGCTCCTCAGTGCTGCCTTGGAGGTGGGAGGCTCCTGCCACTGCACTGCACTTGCCAGCCATGGGCCTGGCTTCTGGTTGAGAAGCACCACCACTGTGGCAGTACACTGACTGTCATTCTTGTCAATCTGCCATAATGGTCACTTAGGTTATTATATAATTTCTTTTATTGATTTCCGAGAGGGAGAGAGAAACATCAATACACCAGTGACAGAGAATCATTCATCAGTGGCCTGCACACCTGACACAAGGAATCCAGCTCACAACCTGGGCTCGTGCCCTGAACAGGAATTGAACCATAACTCCTGGTTCATAGATTGGTGCTCAACCACTGAGCCACAATATATGTATTTTATTTAAAGTTTATTTAAAACTCAAGAGTTATACATTAAATTGTTGAGAATATGTGTGTTTTTTATTTTTTATTGTTCTGTAGTCTTTTTGGAAATTACAGGGGTGGGCAAAAGTTTAGTTGTTCATATGGAAAGAAAAATATACAATAATAATGCAAGGGTAAACTTTTGCCCTAGCTGGTTTTTGGCTTAGTGGATAGAGCATCAGCCTGTGGACTGAAGAGTCCCAGGTTCAATTCTGGTCAAGGGCACATGGCTGGGTTGTGGTCTCAGTCCCCAATGGGGGGCGTTCAGGAGGCAGCCAATCAATGATTCATCATTGATGTTTCTTTTTCTCTTCCCCTTCCCCTCCTCTCTGAAATCAGTATTAAAAAAAAAAAAAATATATATATATATATATATATATATATATATATATATATGGTAAACTTTTGCACACTCATAACTGTCAAACTACTTAGGTACATATATATATATTATTGTTGTAATAAAAAAGCAGGAAGTTCCCTATTTTAAACAAATAGGGGGAAAAAACCCTGGAGATTCTGTCATGGCCATCTCACTGAATGGAATGAAATAGGCAAAGAATCTTTAAAAAAAAAAAAATAGGTATTAGTTTCAGAGAGGAAGGGAGAGGGGTAGAAAGAGTTAGAAACATAAATGATGAGAGAGAATCATTGATCGGCTGCCTCTTGCACCCCCAAAACTGGAGATCAAGCCTGCAACCCGGGCATGGGCCGTTGACTGGAATCAAACCCAGGAGCTACAATCCACAGGTCGACGGTCTATCCACTGAACAAAACCAGCTAGGGTGGCACCCAATCATAATGGTTATCTAAATGTGAATATGGAATTAATATCATATTGGTATGTTTCTCAGTGCTTACAAAATGTATTTTAAAATTTATTAGGCTAAGTGTATGCCTGAAATTCTGTATCCCATATATGAAACAGCAGGTGACTGCAATCTAATATTTTACTTCATTGTGTTGACTGCTCTTTGACAGTGCAAAAGGATGGAAGCCAGGCTTAGGTGTGGTCTGTTGTTTCATCCTTCCATCCTGACCTCAAAGAGGCCAGATGTTTTAGAAAGTCTTTTCGATTTTCAAAAAAATTTAATAGTAGCATATTAATAGTTTTAAATATTTAACATGTCACTTAGAAAACTATGTTATTCTTATATACTAAGTAAAGACAATGAAATCAAACTTTATTGTAAGTTGTTTATTGTAAGATAATTTACAAATATCTTGATGTCTTCAGTAATTTAAACAACAGACCAATAATTTCTTCTGACCAGGACAGCAATAAGATAAAAGCAAAATCAGCTGGCTGAATTTTCCTTCTTTACCTGAAAAAACAAAACACAGAACAAATAAAAATCAAGCAATATTTTCAGAAAAAATAATGGTATCAAAAGACAATACAGGGATCGTCACTTATATGTTACTGTTCAACTAACATATATTTTTGTTATTCTTTATTAGCTTAGTAGCTTCATGCTATGTATGTACCATAACTAACCTATTGCCTATGAGAATCATGTAGGATAATGTACGCACAGCCACTGTTACAAGTTTGTTATTTTTCTACCTTATTTTATATGTATGTTATAAAATAGTAAAAAAAGAATTTCTTGTTTGAAAAGATACAAAATCCACAATTTTGATAAATGTAAATTGCCCATTGTTTTTGCAGTATTTTATTTATCAGGCATCTTGTCTTTTTTTTTTTTTTTAAGTTAACTTATGAATTAATACATTAGATACTTTTGGGTTCTAGTTAATATTTTATGTAGCTTGCATTTTAATTTTTTTGTCCTTTATAGTTTCTATTATCCCATGTCATCATTTTAATAAGTGTTATAATACCAACCTACCAAAAGATTTAAAGAGTTTTTACATAATAAAATGTTCCCCTACATTAGTGGTTCTCAAATTTTGGTCTGGAGGCCCTTTTATGGGGTTCATGAGGGCAAGACCATTTTCATAATATTATCTGCCTGTTTTAGTTTCATTCTCATGAGTAGATGGTAGAGTTTTCCAGTATGTGATATCCGAATGTAATGAATATAGAAAATAGATGGAAATCTTGCTGTATTTTTATTATCAGAAATTCAGGGGTCCTGAGACCATAAAGTTTGAAAACAGCTACTGTTATCAATCTATATTTAATATCTCAAAATAATGCTAATTCTCTTTTCTTGAAGTTTACTTAACAAAGCTAAAAAAAGAAAAAGTCTCCCAGCATTATACACATGCTTCCATAAGTTAGCTGTTACACTAAACAGGCCTAGCAACCTAAACCTCAACAGTGTCACTGTTGCTAAATAGCTTCAGTTCTAACTGCCTTGGGTTTTTTTCTGAAAGGGTATGGGGAGAGTGTGTGAAATATTACCACTTTACCTCTTGTCTGGGGACGAAACTTGATTTTCATTAATCCCTGGTTATTATATTAGAGAAAAAAGACAAACACAAACAAGCTGGTCAACAAGCAATCCATGCTAGTTAATCATGTACACTTGCCAACTAAAAATGTCTATTTCTTCGTTCAGTACCCTTGAGGGTATCACATACTTACCAAAATATTCCTTTAAATCAGTCAATGATTACTATAAAAATCTTATAGATCTCAATCTGGTTATAAGCAATAAAACCATATTCATGCAAATAGGCAAGACTGTGAAAGTATAATTAAAATCACAATTATTCTATAAAAGATAAAATGCAATATATTAGAAATTTTAGGCAGACAACTAATACTTGGCACTTCAAATACTGTGGTTTATTCATGCTTTATATTTTATTTCTAAAGAGCTAAAAGTGTTGGTGTTAAATGTGAACGTCTTTAACTAGAATGACCAATAGGGTAGAAAGCATGCAAATCCATAAACAATTCAACCCTGGGACCACAAAGCTAACTTTTTATAAAGGATGTGGGCAACCTCTAGAAAGCGAAAATTTAACAACTTCCAGTTTTTAGAATTCTTTTTTAAATTCTGTTTTATATCCCAATCTCCTCCTCATTTTCCTTGATTTGCTACTGTGTAGTCAGGTTTCCCACATTTCTAATCCATTAAAACCCTAATCCACAATTCTGCAGAAATTATAATCTCACACTTTATTTTCAGTTTTCCTTTTGCAAGAGCAAAAAAAGAACCTTGGTTCTCTATATCGCAGAGACCCTGAACCATCAGAATGCAGTCTTTCCTCCAGGCCTTCCCACATTTGCCATTCAAGAAGCAATCAACTTAGCATTAGCACTAGGCCATATACATAATAAGGAGGACAATGAGTAATATAATTATTTAACCTTTGGATTAGTGCCCATGTTCTAGATGACAAAATTGAGTTGCAGAGAGTATCTTAACCAAGTTTATCAAGACAGTAAGTAGCAGGGCCACTCATTATTGCACTGTAATCTATGATGCTAATAGAACATTAGTGAGCAGGCTGAATGATGGTTTGTCTAAAAGGAAGGATCCTTAAGATAGCAAAACTGATGGATGCAACTAACGGTCTCAATCAGTTTTACTTGTGTCTCTGGCATTCTGCCCAGTTTTTAGCCTTGAGACAATACTTAAAGAGCAATTTAAATTTCACCTTATTGTTGAATCTTTCCTGAATTCTTAAATATGTTTTCATGTACTCAACAAAATGTTATTTCTCCCTCTACTGAACTTCCAGTTCTTAATATACTTATGGCATGTCATTCACTCACTCAACCACCATTTATTGAGGAAGTACATACCAGGTGATGGGGCTACAAAAGTGGGTACGATAACCCCTCCCAAGCCACTAGAGCACACAAATAAAAAGGTAATTCCTAATAAAATGTTAAGTGCTGATAAAGGGAAGCACAAGATGCTGGAGAAGGGTACCCCACCCAAACTATGCAAGAAAGTTTCTGGAAGAAAAGAATTCCCTCAGCTCAGTTAGGAAGGATAAACAGGACTGTCAGACGAAGAACCAAACGTGAAAGGGGAAAAAAAAAGGTGCACTTGAAGCAAAGGCACATGCCACTCTGAAGGGAAAAGAGCATATGTTTGCAGAACAACAAGTACATCAATGTGGTTGAAGTTCCAAGAAAGTGAGAAATAGTAGTGGTAAGAGACTAGACTCCAGAGAATGTTGGTGGCCAGAAACTATAGGTTCACACATATCAAGCTAAGCTGTTTCTATAGGATGACACTGAGAGAATGGCTCTATTAACTTCGTCATACTACTTTGTCAAATTTGTCTATAAACGGCTAAACAGTAAGTATTTTAGGCTTTGTAGGTCACAGTATTTTTTAAAACATTTTTTAATTGATTTTTTACAGAGAGGAAGGGAGAGGGATAGAGAGTTAGAAACATCAATGAGAGAGAAACATCAACCAGCTGCTTCCAGCACACCTCCCAGTGGGGATGTGCCCGCAACCAAGGCACACATCCTTGACCAGAATCAAATCCGGGACCCAGGACCCGAATCCACAGGCCAGCACACTATCCACTGAGCTAAACCAGCTAGGGCACAGTCGTCTCTCTTTTTATAATCCTTTAAAAATATGAAAACAATTTGTAGCACTAGACTTCAGTTTTCTGACTTCCATTCTACTGCAATTTCAAATATAATTTCTGTCTTCCCTGTTAAGGCGGTGCGCTCTTTGAGGGCAAATACTAACTACTATATCCACAGTGCTTAGCAAAGGGGCTGGCAATGAAGAGGCTCTCAAAGGAAATCTTTTCAATTCAGGAGAGAAATACAAGAATCTGCATTAAATGGGCATTAAGAGGAAAGAATCATGGGCTATTTAGAAAGTAAAACTTACAGAACTTGCTGACCAATTATCGATAGTAGAGGGGATAAAAAATAATTCAAAGACAACTTATACATTTTATCCTTCATCACAATTATCTGAATATTTTTATCCTGTTAGCTTTTAACAATTGTACTTTGCATATAGTGAGGGTGAAATTTAATAATGTTTTGAATAGAATTCCCATTATCCTAACCCTGGTTTCACATTAATATTTTCTCAAGGAAAGTGGTATACTATTTTAAGGTACTGATACAGAAATCTTAATAATTTAAAAAGTCCCAAACCCTATCATTCAATGATTTATACGTAAAACCAAACCCAAAACTAGTCCTGTAATTCAGAAAGCTTACTTTGTAATGTTTTAAGATCCAAACACAGATTTTATAAATGATATTAAATTGTCCACATCCTTATTCCCAATGCTTTATTTAGAAAGTGAAGTTAGCAATATTGATTTCTAAGGAAAAAACTAGCCAAAAACAATCAGAATAAACTCAAGATTCCATTTTCACCAAATAAGTACACAAGTTAAGCAATGAGTCATTTCATCTTTAACAGGCAAACAAACAAGAAAGCATTTAAACACCCAAAAGTTAAACTAGCAGATATACAAATATGAGAACAAAAACTCTGAAGGTAATCTACAAGTACTTACAGAGCTGCAGCACCAGAGATGATTTCAATCAACTCCTTTGTGATGACAGCTTGGCGGGTGCGATTGAAGGTCAAAGTCAATTTGTCAATCATTTCAGCTACACGCAAAACAAAAAGATTAGACAGCAAAATCTAAAAACTACAAAGGAATAACTGCATTAATTTATTCATAGATAAATGTTGTTTAATTTATCAATAAGATTTTGGGAGTTTTTCTGGGGGGTGAGGGACCTGGACTAAAATTGGACCCCAAAAATTTCAAGGTGTTTTTAAATCTTTCATGGGATACTTTTCCAAGTATTTACAAACTTAATGCCTACCAAGTAAGATATACTTCCTTTAAGGCAAAGAATATTACTTTTATATCTTTTCAGGTGAGAAGAAAGAGATATTTAATCAAAAACTTCATAGAACCAGTAGTAGAGCACAGGACTAAGTCCTATCTCTCATTCCCCACTCTACTTAAAGAATGGTCATGTTTCTGATGAGGGTCTTCATGCCACTATGGAGCAGAATTTTCTCAAAAAACTGTGTGCTTACAAGCATTTTTGCTTGCATTGTCCATGGCTGTCATCCTGGCACTTTGCTCACTCGTGGTGGACTCCTTCAGAGAATAGTAGATGATGTTGGCCAGAGTGTATTCCTGATAATTCTGCAGCACGTCAGCATCAATGTCATCATAGATACTCATGCTCTCTGTAAAAATAAGTGATAAATATCTGAAGCAATACAGCACAAAGACTAATCACAGTGGCTTACTATTAAAAGAATCCGTTATAATTACAGAGAGGAAATAAGTGTTAGAAAGGGCAAGACTCCATTCTAATAGTTTTATCTATTTCCACACTGAAGATTTTCAGCAATGTGTAATAAAGCACTGGGTATCTCTATATTTAAAAGCCTAAGTGATCGAACGACCGGTCACTATGATGTGCACTGACCACCAGTGGGCAAATGTTTAACACAGGAGCTGCCTCCTGGTGGTCAATGTGCTCCCACAGCCAACCTCCCGCAGACCTGTGGCTCCTCCCCCTGACCAACCTTCCACTGCCCTGATTGGCCCTGAGTGCTGGCCAGGCCGAGGGACCCCACCCATGCACGAATTCATGCACCGGGCCTCTATTTTTAAATAACTTTACTATACTTCATGGTCATGAATTGTCATGAGAGCATCTGGCTGAGCACAAAGTCAGCAAACAATAAATGATCTGTTTTTATTTTCTTTTCCAATAAAGAAATTAAGAATGGAAACTATGTAACATAATACAAAAATCTCCATTCAACTTTTGGTTACTGGAGAAATCAGCAAGTGTCAGTCAGGAAAATGAGAGCAGGCAAATGTTTCCAAGAATATAGAAGAGTAGGAGAAATAAGAGGCTCATAGGAATTTTAGTAATCATGTTGCAGAAATTTAGCAGCAAATTTCAAAATTCATCCATTGGGGGAAGTGTGAAATAGTGCTATTTCATCAAACTTAAGATACTACAGATTATAACCTATATTTGATGTGCCATTAAGAAAGAAAACAGCATAGTCAATTAAAAATGACATGCCACTGACTGGGAGAAGCATCCCAATTTTAGAAATAATTAAAATGCAAAAAAGTGTACATCTTAGAATAGATGAAACATGATAAATAAAAGGAGAAAATGCCTTGGGAAAATAAAAACAGTTCTAGAATATTGTTTTTACAATGCTCCATTGAACAATGGTGACTTTATTCAAACAATAAAACAAGAGAATTTACTGGAACAATATAAATAAGTTGTGAATACTGTTCAAATCTCTATTCCAGACTTTCAGATTGTACTGGAGTTAGTTAGTTTGTATACATAGACTGCAAAGCCAATTTCTGTCCCCCAAGGACAGAAAGCATATCAAATACTGCCCTCAATAGCTATTTGCTGAATTAATGAAGGAACGGAGTAAAAGTTGTCAATGCACGGATTAATGCATCATGGAACCCATTAATAGATGGTGATAGAAACAACCAACCATCATTTTGTTACTGCTGAAACAGGCCATGCTGACATTTACCATTTTCCTAAATGAATAAATCTCTCCTTTTATGTGGTAAAATACTTGTCATACAAAAACTACTTACCAGCACTTGCAATGGTATTAAGAGAAAAGATGGGTTTTTCATCTGTCTTGTAGGAGATGACAGACCTATAAAGGACAAAAGCAAATGTAAATCCTATACTAATAAAATATTAGTAGATAAATTGACCATCACTTTGCAACACCCACAGCCAATTGGGATCGAGTATTTAAATTAACCCAACAAAGATGGCAGTGGCCCACCCCTGGCTACTCTGGGCCTTCAGGCAGCACATGTCCTCAGGGCCTCCCTGCCGGGCTCCACACCTGTCAACCGTCCTTGCAGTCTCCCTGTGGCCCAGCTCCCAGCCTCAGAGGCAAGCCTTTAGTGCCTGAGGTCATACCTCCCAGTGTCTGGCGTCTCCCTCTACCCAACTCCTGCCCCACAGCTCTGGTAAACAAAACCCTAGCATTTGAATAGCCCATAGGCACGAACACACATGGGAGCTCACTTGGTGCACAGTTAGCGTGCCCCGGGAGGCCTGGGCCAGCCAAGGGGCGATGGCGGCAGCTGTGACAGGTGGCAGCTCAGCTTTGCTTTGAATAGATGAAAGAGGACACATACACAGTAACCAATTTATCAGATCTCTTCCTCCCTATCTCACCAAATCAAGAGAGGAGGGGTGATGGGCATGGAGGGAGAGCGGGTGGATAGGAGGTGGAGAAGGAAGAGGTTAAGGAAGGGGGCCAGTTGCATCCAATTTTCACACTGGGCAAGTGAAACGCACTAGCACATTCAACCTCTCCAGTCCTCCCCGCCTGCCTTGCTCCCCCCACCTCCTCCCCTCCATGACTCCCTGGGAGTGCCAGCCCTGCACAGGGAAATTCTCCAGAGGAGGGCAAGGAGGAAGTGGCGCCAGAACGCACACGGCCTGCCACCATGGCCACCACTGCACAGGCTGCTAGAGTGAGCCTGCCATGTGCCGGCAGCCAAGGGAAGGAAGGCCTATTCCTGCACGAATCTTAATGTATCAGGCTTCTAGTTTCAAAATACTCTTTAAGCTGTTAAGTATTTACTTATTTTTAAATATTAACATAAATAAGCTTTGATTTCTAAAATTTTCTTGCCTGAATCGATTAAAGATGATAGATCCTTCATCAAATTCATATCCAGAATTTAGTAGTTCCAAGGCAATGACTGATGCATCTCCAAAAGTAGGGGGTTTTCTTCCCACTTCTTTGAACGACACCAGAAACTGGTCAGAATGAGTCCTACAAGAAAGTCAAGAGAGCACATAAGATGTTTTAATGGAATTATTCTTCTAAAAAACACAAGAAAAGCCAAAACCGGTTTGGCTCAGTGGATAGAGCCTAGGCCTGTAGACTGAAGGGTCCCAGGTTCGATTCCGGTCAAGGGCATGTACCTTGGTTGTGGGCACATCCCCAGTAGGGGGTGTGCAAGAGGCAGCTGGTTGATGATTCTCTCTCATCAATGTTTCTAACTCTCTATCCCTCTCTCTTTCTCTCTGTAAAAAATCAATAAAATATATTAAAATAAATAAATAAATAAAAATAAAAAATACAAGAAAAAAAAGAAGAAATCCCAAGATTTTTGGAGGAAAAGGGGGTGTTCACTGAATCACTTTGTTCCATACACTATCATGATTATCCTTTTCTCTCAGCACCTGCAAAGAGACCAATAGTCAGGCCTTTCTTGCTTTATTTTTCTACGCCTTTACCTTTCTCCTTCCAATCCTAATTAACTATTGGTCGTTCTGACATTTCCACCCTGTGATAGCTTCTCAGATCCAGTCCTGATGTTTAAAAAGGTCAATAGCTTTTGATATACCCATTGCATTTCATTTATGGTTTGGATGAAAATGCTAAACACAAGTAGAAAAGGAGGGAAATCTATATATTCTAATATATTCTGGGAAAAATAAAAATAAAACATAAGCCTGAGTACAAAAATTAGCAAAGAAATTTCCATTTATTCATGCTTTTAAAACATAAATAATATATATATTTAAATTACCTATGAAGTATAGCCCTAAGTTTATCACCAATTCCAACAATCTTAACTTCTTTCCCAGCTGCTGTGAGCGTAGCCACCTCATTTTTCATCTGTTTAGCAACCGAGGAATGGATAGCACCACAAAGCCCTCTATCTGAGGACACGCCGATAAGGAGGTGTTTCTTCATGTCCTCGGGCACCTTAATATCAGCCTTCTCATACAGAGCTTAAAAACAAATGACAAAAAGCAAACACAAGAATTTATATATGTTATTCATACCAAATACAATAATCCCTAATTTACAGAAAAGTACTGGCTGTTTTAAAAATGATGCATTTAAATTTAGGTGACACTTGATTAATATAACCAAAACATCCTGTGTATTTATTCTATTTATAATCAAGATGAAAACCACAAAGGTTTAAATCTCTACATGACAAAGGTTCCCAAGAGTCCATTAGCGGCCACTTTATCTTAAATTCTGACTAAAATAAATCTCTGGTACAATTAAAGTACTTTTAAAGAGACTAGAATTACAGAGGTAACAACTTATTTGTTATCAGACTTTTAAATAACGCAAATCCTTAGTATACAAAAATGGCAAATATTTACTAAGCTTCTTATATAATTTGCATATCAAGCTCTTACAAAAACTGTTATCCTATCTAATAAAAGAGTAATATGCAAATTAACAGTCACTCTTCTACAAAGATAGCAGTGCCCATGTCACCATGGTGACGAAGCTAGCATCCCACTCCCAGGCTGCAGAGGGAGAAAGGGCTGCAGACACAATGTTGGGCTGCTGGGCTGGGGGCTGCTCAGAGCTGATGCTGCCTGGCTTGGGACACGCCCCCGGCCCAGCAGACAGAAGCCCAGCTGACAGAAAGTGGCGTCACTGGGGTGGTGCCCAGTGGACAGAAGCCCTGCGGACACAATGCAGGGGGCCCTTTGCGCATGAGCTGCAGAGAAAACGCTTTTTCTGAAGGCTCATTGGCTAAGCTCCCTGTAAGCTGCCTCTCACAGTGTTCTTGGTAACTTGAGTAATAAGAATCCAAGAAGGTGATCTAGGGTTTTTCCACCACACTCTTGAGGAAAAACTAAGGTCTGCTGCTGGAGGGGTTAAGAAATTTAATATCCTGCCCTAGGCAGTTTGGCTCAATGGATGGAGCCTCAGTTTGCTGATCACAAGTCTGGGTTCGACTCTGATTAAGGACATGTACCTAGGTTGCAGGCTCCTCCCTAGCCAAGGCCTAGGTCAGGTCTCATGCAGGAGGCAACCAATTGAAGTGTCCCTCTCACATTGATGTTTCTCTCTGCCTTTCCCTCTCTCTTCCAAGCTCTCTAAAAATCAAGGGAAACGTCCTCAGGTGAGGATAAAAAAGAAAGAAATGTCATATCCTATGGAAGACACACCTTGAAAATGCCTAAAGAAAGTTGTCGTTTTTTCATGGTGAAGGGACTGAAGTCAGTGTTGATGAAAATACCTTGGCGGCTGTGACAGTGGCAGCAGCAACAACGGGGTGATGGGGCTGGCGCCTTCCCCTGATCATCCCCGTCACCTCCAGCAGAGGAAGGCCAGACCTCGGCTTAGGTCGGCTCCCTGTCAGTAGGAAATCTCCTGAGGGCTCCCCATCTGTGAGAGGGGGCAGGATTGGCTGAGGGAACCTCCTTTCCCGCCACAGTGCATAAATTTCTAGTGTTAAAATAATGTTGCCACTTCATTTTCAGGATTACTTTAACAACCTCACTTGTTGGTATCATTTTCTAAGAAGCAGAGACCAAAAGAGGATTCAGTGGGATGAAATATACATGGACTTTACTAGAAGATATGCATATGAAAGAAAATAAGAAGTCAAAAGAATCATCATACCATGCATGATACAGGTCTGAGCTGTGGGAAGAAAGGTTGGGTGGCAGCTTCCAATGTAGTTTAAGGGAAGCTCAACAAGGCTGCTGGGAATCCCAGGTCTCCCAATAACATGCCTGCCTGTATCTACCCTGTGCTCAGGTGCTGGCTAGGAGCAGGCCATTGAAAGCATGGCTGGATGTACATGCAGGATGGATTTCAGCAGCTGGTGCTCACTGTAATTGCAAGGTGCAACTTTATGGCTGCCACATTTACCCATTTCAACAAAATTCTTGTTACTACTCTTTTTTTCAGTATGGATTTTCAAATTTCAATACCTGAGATCCTCCACAAAAAGCAGAGAAGTGCCCTGGCCAGGTAGCTCAGCTGATTAGATTGCTGTCCTAGTCAGGCACATACAAGAGTCAACCAATGGCCTGGCTAGTGTGGCTCTGTGGTTGAGGTCAACCTATGAACCAGAAGGTTACATTTCCATTCCCGGTCAAGGCACATGCCACGGTTTTGAGTTCGATCCCCAGTAGGGGGTGTACAGGAGGCTGATCAGTGATTCTCTCTCATCATGTTTATGATCTCTTTCTCTCTCTTCCTCTCAAAAATCAATTTTTAAAAATACTAAAAAAAGAAAAAAGAAAAAAAGCAATGAAGGAATGAACACATAAATGGAACAAATTAATGTTTCTCTCTTTCTCAAATCAATAAAATAAAATAAAAAAACGAAGCAGAGAGAAGTAGTCAACTCCAAAGTTCAGCAGTGAGGAGAGAATATTTCTTTTAAGTTGCTTTTTAATAATATAGTGTAAAATGCCTGCTTTACATTTTAAAATATTTCAAATAATTAGCTATTTAATATTTACCAGTTAGGGTTTTTGTTTTGGTTGTTTTGTTTTTTCTCTTTAGTCGAAGGACTTTAAAAGATGATTGGCAGCCTTAATTTGGATGTTTAGTATTTTTCCACAAATAATCAAATATCTAAGCCAATTTCTTCTTTATTAGATAATTTTGTGGTTATAGACTTTTGGAGGGTAACAAATTTATTATACATGTTCATGTCAGCAAGAAAAATAAATAGTAAATGACTTTTCTTTTTCATAATAAATAGCTATTGAATAATTTAACCAACCAACATTTACCAAGCCACCAACTACCGTAGATGCTTAGTATTATGCTAAGGAGGGAAGGAGACATGAAAGCAAATGGCTCGCACTGACAAGGACTGATGAAACCTAACCAAGCAACTCTCCTCCAGGTGAAACTAAGTATGGTATTTAAACAAAGAGGCCATTTCTACTGATGCCTAGTGCTCCATAATTTCCTTACGTAAAAATTTCTTTAGCAGTATAAATGCATGTTTAAAATATATGGAAGAGCACAATAAAACTACTGCACAGGACAATTTACATCTAATACATAAACCTATTAATACACAGATATATAGCATATCTCAATGTATACACACTTTAATAGCTGAAAGCTCAATTTTGAAAATAAAATCTTAATAAACACTGACTTTATAATTACTCAAAGTGTGAGCAGACATTTTTTTAGACACAAAATATTTTCTCTAATTTGGAAATAAGCAAATTTGTTTTATTTATAGTTTGTGTTTAAACACTGCACTCATGTATTCATGAGCCATGTCCACGACTACTTGGCCAACTCTCCACTGCAGAGTATCACCTCCCCACCCTGTACTTCTAAAATATCACATCACAACTGAATAGGACGAACTCAACATTGGAGTTTTATGCACTATGTTCTTTCAATGGTATATTCAATAATCTAGAAAACTTTTCAGAATCCTTAAAAAATTACACAACAGGTATGCAATCTCAGGCAAGTTACTTGATGTCATATGCTTCAATTTTTCTCACCAGCAAAGCAGAGGCTCAAACAGTTCCTACCCCAATAGGATTGCTGTGAAAAATGAGTACATGTAAAATAGTCAGAATAGACCCATTGATACTAAATAAGTCATTAGTAGTGATCTTCTTTATGTTAAACTAGAGGCCTGGTGCATGAAATTCATGAACAGGTAGGGTCCCTAGGCCTGGCCTGTGATCAGAGCCAATCAGGCCTTCTGACTGCCGGCCAGTTCCACGCCCCCCTTGATGGTCAGCGCACATCATAGCAAGTGATAGAATTCCAGGTTGAACTCCTGGAGGAGACACTTTGCATATTAGCCTTTCATATATATATATATATATATATATATATATATATATATATATATATATATATATATATATATGGTAGTTCTTCATAATTTTGAATTACATTCTCCTCTTACCCAAAGATCCTGTTCCATATACTCGAGCTGGTTTCAGCTCCCTCTCAGCTCGGGCATATTTTGCTGCTGCTACCATTTTCATAGACTTGGTAATTTTCTGGATGTTTTTGATTGACTTCAGTCGCCTGGTAACTGAAAAACAGAAGTGTTGTGTTAACACACTGTGGGCGGAACATGAGTATTCTTATGTTTTCATAGTACACAGTGTTTTACATAAATGTTAAAGTCACATCTTAAAATTAAATACCCATTTGAAGTTATTTATTACATGTTCTTACAAGCTAATATCTTTTTAAAGTAAGATACTTTGTAAACTTTTTTTGTACTCATTTATTAGAAACTTATCTGGCCACTGGGTAAAGCTAGCAATAAAACTACTGGTGCACAATTTGTTAAGATAAAAGTTATAATTTCATTTGTGAATTTTTCTAAACTGTAAGCCCTCATTTATACCATTAATTAAGAGCATGATGCTAAGCTAGGGTTAATGTTAGAATGAGTACTAATAAAAGGTCAAACTTAGCTGACAACATAAGAGATCAGTAAACTAAACACTGAAAATATTAAATGGTATTGAAAATGACTTTTAACTACATGTTTCATAACCTTTTTTATATAGCTACAAATAGTGTAGTTTTATTCAATTATAACATTCTCATTCTACAGACAACAGAATCCAGAAACCATGCGTCACCTCAATGGTCGAGCATCTAGAACAAGTTTAATGCTCCACACATATGACACAGATTTATTTTGTCAATTTTGACATAATATATAATGGGCTTAAAAAGGTGGCATATTTTTTTAAAGTATTATTGCTAAAATTTAGTTTTTCTTGATTCATATACTGAGATAAAGTACTTACTGTCTTTCAAAGTTGCCATATTTCGAACTTGGATCCTGAAAGGTTTAAAAATATTTTAGTTTTTTGAAAAAATAGTTCCATTATATAATAAAAACTTTTGAAGTTAATATGTCTATTTAAAGAATACCCCATAAAGAATTACTCAAATATAGGACTCTAAATATATACATATATGTTAATTTTAAATCCCTCAATATTGATACCTAATCCTGTATCAAAGACCTGATTTTATTTAACTTAACTAATACAAACCTTTCACTGAACTCACATCGGCATTCATACATGCTCTCTTCCCATCTTCATGTCTTTGCCTATATTGTCTTCCCAAAAGAAAAGTCCTTTCCTTTAGTTAGGCTACCCAACTTTCAAGGTCAGCCACCTCTAAAAATAGCACTCCTTGCCCGGCAGTGTGGCACAATGGTTGAGCCTCAATCTATGAAGTAAGAAACCATGATATGATTCCGGGTTGGAGAGCATGCCTGGGTTGTGACTCGATCCCCAGTAGGGGGTGCGCAGGAGGCAGCAGATCAATGATTCTTGCTCATTATTGATGTTGTTATCCCTCTCTCCCTCTCCCTTCCTCTCTGAAAATATATAAAAATATATTTTAAAAAAGCATTCATTGACTTCTTCAGTTCACCAAAACCTTTTTAAATAACACTTATACATTCTAACATAACAAAATGTGTGAAAGCAGTTTTATTCCAATTAATTCTTAACTTCCAACTCAATTCAATAAACATTTACTATATAGCTACTGTTCTTCAGGATATGGTCTCTGATCACAAGAAGGATACACCATTATCTCATAAACAAGATTCATGAAAATTTAGCTTTACATTAAGTTTACATGAAAATTTTTCTATAATTTTAAAGTATAATTCATAAAAGTCAAAATGACTTAAATGTAATGTTAGTGAAAGATAAATATGAGAAAATCCCTTCCCTATCAGGAAGGTAACATATTACCAAATATAAATTATCTTCCAGCCTTTATATCCATATAAAGTACTTGTGTGGCCCAGAACGGTCCATGGAAGACTTGAAGATTCAGTAAATTTGTGCACAGAAGTGGACTAAGGAGGGCATTCCCCGGATTGGAAAATCGTTTTGAAGTTGTAGACATGAGTTGGGTTAGTAAGTTTAAATATTATTTTATAGGGAATAAGGAAGTGAACATCCATAAACCAACAAACAGTTTAGTTTTTCAGTGAAGTATCTTGGATGGCAGTGAAAAGCCCAAAATAATGTTGGAATACTGATGACATGGAAACTATATAGGGGCTGTTGCAACTTCTAAACAAAAGCAAGAACCTGGACTAAGATGTTAGCAAAGCCAAAACAAGAGATGAGGTTTGAGATTAAATTCTTAAGAGTGAAGAGGAGCACAGGGTGGCTCAGTGGCTAAGCATCAAACTATGAACCAGGAGGTCAGGGTTTGATTCCTGGTCAGGGCATGTGCCCAGGTTGCAGGCTTGATCCCCTGTGGGGCATGCAGGAGGCCATTGATAGATGATTCTCTCTCATCACTGATGTTTCTATCTCTCTCCCTCTCCTTTCCTCTCTGAAATAAACAAATATATTATTTTTTTTTTTAAAAAATGAGTGCTGCCTTGGCCAGTTTGACTTGGTGGATGGAACGTCGGCCTGTGGGCTGAAGGGTCCTGGGTTTGATTTCGGTCAAGGGCACATGCCTGGGTTGCGGGCTCAATCCCTAAAGGGGGTTATGCAGGAGGCAGCCAATCAATGATTCTCTCTCATCATTGATGTTTCTTTCTTTCTTTCTTTTTTTAAAAATATACTTTATTGATCTTTTACAGAGAGGAAGGGAGAAGGATAGAGTTAGAAACATTGATGAAAGAGAAACATCGATCAGCTACCTCCTGCACACCTCCTACTGGGGATGTGCCCACAACCAAGCTACATGCCCTTGACCGGAATCAAACCTGGGACCTTTCAGTCCGCAGACCAATGCTCTATCCACTGAGCCAAACCAGTTTTGGCATCATTGATGTTTCTATCTCTCCCTCTTCCTTCCTCTCTAAAATTAATAAAAAATATTTTAAAAAATAAAGTGCAAAGGAAAACAATAAGAATGACCCAAAACTTTCTAATTTAATGACCTGAGTGGATGATGTTGTCATTAATCAAGATAGATAAAGTGGGTGCAGATGATCTTCCTGGAAAAAATGACTTTTGAATATGATATAATTAAAAGACTATGGGCCAGGTAGAAATGTCCAGTGGGTCTGAGATTTTGAGATTTGTGATACAGATTTCTAACTATCAGTAAACATAGTAGTTGATGCCATGTTTTCCAAAGGAAAAAAATGAGAATAGAAGCAGGGGAAAAGTTTTAATTTTATGAGGTTAGCATTATCTTAATACTGAAATACATAAATACATTAAAAATAACAGAGAATATCTCTAATGAACTAGATGCTAAAATCCTCAACAAAATATTAGCAAATTGAACCCAACAATATATACAGCATGGCCAAGTGGAATTTATTCTAGGTATGCAAGGCTGGTTCATCATTCACAAATCAAATACTAGTAATATCCATCACATCAACAGGTTAAAGAAGAAAAATCATATGATCAATAGATGCCAAAAAATCATTTGACATATCTAATACCTTTTAGCAAATTAAAAATAGAAGAAAAAACTTCCTTAACCTAGTAAAGAATATCTAACAAAAACCCCATGGTTTAATGGTGAGAAACTTTCTCCCTAAGATTGGAAATAAAATTGTCCTCTCTTACCACTCCTATTCACATCATACTAGATATCCCAGCTAATATAAGACAAGAAAGTGAAATAAAAGGTATATAGACTGGAAGGGAAGAAATATGTCTTAGTTCATAGGTGACATGATTGTCTAGATAGACTATTCCAAAGAAGTAGCAAAAAAACTTCTGGAACTAGTAACCAATTATAGTAAGATTATAATTACTATAATCTTACTATAATTTTTTTTCCTTTATACCAGCTATCAACAATTGAGTTTCAAGTTATAATTACTATAATCTTACTATAAGTTTTTCCCTTTATACCAGCTATCAACAATTGAGTTTCAAGTTAAAAAAACACACACAAAAAATACCATAAACTGAAGACTTAAAAAATAGATATGGTGACAAATTTTATGTTTTACCACAATTGTAAAAATATACAAAGACATATATAAACCTAACAAAATGTGTGTAAGATATATATGAGGAAAACTGCAAAACTGATGAAAGAAAGATTCAAATAAATGGAGAGAAATTCCATATTCATAGATAGGAAAATTCAATGTTGCTTACAAGTCAATTCTTCCCATTTGATCTAAGATTATTACAATTCCAATAAAAATCTCAGTAAGTTACTTTGTGACTATCAATAAACTGATTTTAATGTCTATATAGAAAGGCAAAAACCCAGAATAGCCAACATTACAGTGAAGAAGAACAATGCCAGAGAAGTGACACTACCAGATTTCAAGACATACTGATTCCATAAAACAAAGGCATTGGTGAAAGAATGGACAAGTAGATCAATGGAACAGAATACAGAGCCCTCAGACTCACACAAATATATTAACTTAAGTTTGACAAAGGAGCGAAAGTCATATGGAAAGGATACTCTTCAACAAATGGTGTTGGTGCCCTACCAATCTTGCTCAGTGGATAGAGCACTGGCCAGCAGTCTGAAGGGTCCTGGGTTTGATTCCAGTCAAGGGCATGTACTTCATTGCAGACTCAATCCCCACCTGGTTTGGGGGTACAAGAGGCAACCAATTGATGTGTCTTTCCTCCTCTCTCCAAAAATTAATGGAAAAATATCCTCCGGGGAAGATTAACAACAAAACAACTTCTACAAGACACCAAAGGAGAAAATCTAGGTGCTTTCTTTGACTGAGTTTCTAGCTAAAACATCCAAGGTATTATCTATGGAAGAAAAAAATTGAGAAGCTGGACTTCATTAATTTTAAAAACTTTCACTCTTCAAAAGACACTGTTAAGAGAATGAAAAGACAAGCCACACACTGGAAGAAAATATTTACAAAACTCATATCTGATAAAGGACTGTTAGCCAACATCTACAAAGAATTCTTTAAAACTCGACAATAAGAACATGGACAACACAATTAAAAAAAAAAAAAAGCAAAAAATTGGAACAACCACTTCACCAAAGAAGCTATACAAGTGGCAAATACGCATATAAAAAGATGCTGAGTATCATGTCATTAGGGAACTGCATATTAATGTCATACAACTACCAACCTGTAAGAATATCTAAAATTTTAAAAACAATACCAAGTGATGATGAGGCTAAGGATGTGGAGCAAAAGGAACTCTCATTGATTACCAATGGGAATGTAGAATGTATGGCTACTCTGAAGATGGTTTGGCAGTTTCTTACAGATCTTAAACATAGTGTTAACATATGATCCAGCAATCATGCTCCTTGGTATCTAATCTACTGAGCTAAAAACTTATATCTACACAAAAACCAGCACATGAATTATTAAATATTTATTCATGATCACCAAAAATTGGAAGCAACCAAGATGTCTTTCAATGTGAAAGAAAGAATAAACAAACTGGTACATACATACAATGGAGTATTATTCTGAAATAAAAATAAATGAGCTCTCAAGCCACAAAAAGACATGACAGAACCTTAACTGCATATTGCTCAGTGAAAGAAGACAATTTTTAAGGCTATATACTAATTTCAACTACACATCATTCCAGAAAAGACAAATTACAGCAACAATAACATTATCAGTAGTGGCCAGGATTTGAAAAAGATTTTTGGGGGAGCGAAACTATTCTATATGATACTGTAATAGTAGGCACAAGTTATTATGCATTTGTCAAAACCAACAGAACTATACAATAGGAGTGACCTTAATGAAATAATGCACCTTAATTAATAATGTATTAATGATCCATTAATTGTATATATACCACACTAATGCAAGCTATTAATAATTGGGAATACTGTTCAAAGTGGGGTGTAGTTATACAGAACGCTCTGTACTTTATGATCAATTTTCCTATAGGCCTAAAACTACTAAAAAATAACCAACCTATTAATAACAACTTAAAAATGCAGGTTATGAAATGGTATATGATCCCATTTTTTATGATTATGTGCATAAAAATAAGTCTGGAAGGTGACAACCAAAACTGTTATCTTTAAAAACTTTGTCTTATCTAACTACTGGTATTGCTTAGCCAAAGAAAAATATAGACAAGAGGACAGAGACTTTATGGGAAATACTATGGTAGGTTTGGTTAGAATGGATCCACTAAAGATTAAAGTTATAAATACTGACAAGTGCAACTATTTCAAGTACAGACTTATCTGACATAATGACCATTCAGTTAACTAATAGTCCTTGAAAAGTGGCCCCATTTTTGAATAGCTTTCTTTTCATGGGGTAATGATTTTTTTACTCTAAGCATTCTCAATCTATAGGTTACTAGAGACCCAGTGCACAAGTTCAGGCCTGGCCTGCGGGGATTGGACTGAAACAGCTTCTCTGACATCCCCCAAAGAGCCCCAGATTGTGACACGGCGAAGGCCAGGCCAAGGTAGGACTCCAGGGGCGGGGCCAGCTGACCTTCCACGGCCCATCCTCCCCCACCCCACTGCCGGCCAGCCCACACTCATGCACAAATTCATGCACTGGGCCTCTAGTTATAAAAGTTTCATTTTAGAGAATGTGGAACACTAGGAAATACAGATGTATTTTTCCCTAATTTGAAATGGAAAAAGTAGAGACTCTTCAAATTTCTTAAATATACTTTAAAAAAAAGTTAATTTCTGAAACTTTAGGGCACTTGCTAATTCCCTAAAACAAAATAATTTCATCATGATTTCAATTAAGCTTCGTGTTTAAGGTTAGAATGCAAACTTCCCTGAAGCAAAATCTGTAACAAATCCATGTTTAAAAACTCAATAACCAAAACAGAACCAAGGAAATGCCCTTTCATGGTACTGTTAAAGCAAAGGTATTTTTCCACATCTCAAATTACTTCTGTGAAGTGTGAAATTTTGAGATGGTTTTCATTTCTGAATTTAAAAGGCAATTATAATTAATGGGAAAGAAAAGGGGCGAATAGGTAGAAAAGACATCAGGCCCCCAAAGTGATGGAAAATTTGAAGAGGGTAGAATATTCCATTTTATGATGAATATTCATAATCTACCAATTTAAAACCATCATTCCAAGGGGATTAAGATCAGGACTAGGACCTTTATTTGATGATTCAGGTTCCAATTTAGGTCCCTAGAATTAGTTGTCTCAGACTGAGAGAGTTTTTATTTAAAATAATTATTTAAGAAAAGATTTTCAAATTGTCTTACGGTTATTTGTGTTTTTAAAGTTATTTCTACAGCTTTATTTTTATTTTGTAGAAAAGCAAGGAAGAATTTATTGACCACAGCAAAAAACTATTTAGGACAGTGAAACAAGGAAGGGCATAGGAGAAGCAACAGGAGAGTCTAAGCTGGGCTGCTTTAGCTCACTGAGAAGTCAGAGAAAAGGGGGCTTTGGAGACGACTCAGGGGGTTAGCCTGGAATGAGCTGCCACCGCCATTGCTACCCTGGAAGCAAGTCTATGCGCCAGTGAGGGAATGGCATCAGTGTACTCCTAGAGGGAGAGCATGACTACAGTTTATGCAAAATATTTTGTCCTCAATTCAGAATATTTATAAAAAGATAACTTAGGTACCATTTAAGGCTCTAAAAATATAGGAGGGAGGGAGGGAGGGAGCTAGCTGATGATTGCTGACCACTACTGCATGCCAGGAACTGTCCCACGAAGCTCACGTAAGACCACATCTATTTGTTTAACACCACATTTTAGAGACTTAATGCAGACCAGGCACCTAACAAATGTGTGCTGAGTGACTAGCAAATGATACAACTCATACAACCGAGAATTTAACAGAAGTGACGTCTTAATTCCCATGAATAATCTTCCTCGATATATGAGGGGTGCAGTGGGGAAACCTACTTCCAAGGCAAATCCCCCAACATTTTAATGTAGGTATTTTACAGCATACTAAATGACTTCCTTATCCTATTATAAATTCTTAATGAAAAACATACCTATTTCAATTAATGCTTTATAGACCCTTCACATAAACTAGGATACAAAAATCTAGTTTAGTGTTATAACTCCTTAGAATTCTCCCTTACTGTAAACCCAGGGAACTGCTACACAGAAGATAACTAAGATCTCCTTAGCACTGCGTCTGAAAATTTTCCCAGGCTTTGCCTAACATAGGCATTTCATCCTTTTATATGGTCCCACCACAAGCCAACGTTGAAGTGCTTATTCCTAGGCCTTTTACTATGCAATTGTTTTTGGAAGCCAATGTTTAAAAGCCTTAAAAATTGCAAGACAGTTACTTAATCCAAACTCCTCCTCCTCTCAGGACCTTGGGACAATTTCATGACCTTGCAGGGTTACTGCTTCAGCATAATGGTTGCAAGATAAGGTGTCTTTCTCTTGCTCGCCAACAGACAGATTTTTTTAAAGGTCCCTTTTGCACCCAAACTACCACCGGCCCACGGAGGCACTTATTTGGTTCACCAGCACCCAGCAAAGCGCCTGCTACGAGGCAGGTGCTTCATAAACGTTCTGGCTGACTCGGACAGCCCTTAAAGGGTCACCCCGCTCTACACTGGCCCTGCAAACTCTCTCCAACACCGGGGGAGTTCCAAAAGGCGTCAAGGACGGAAAGAACACCTTAATCTTCCCCTCGACCTCGCCTTGGGATGCTCACTTCCCCCTCACGTTGTGGGCCCAGGTCAAGACTGCACGATATTCGTGGCCTGGCACCAAGCGGGAGCTCCGCAAATACGGGTTAGCGGAATGAATACAAGACCGCCCAGAAATTTACTGGGACTAAGGTCTCAATCCCCGAAATTAACTCGGACTAAGGTCACAACTCCTCGTGCGCCCTCCCCCCCTCCTCCCGCCCCACTCCGCCTCGGGAGACGTGGCGTAACCTTGCGGTCCCTCCGGCCCCTTCACGTGCCCTTCTCGGACTCGAGGCGCTTCCTGCACCCCGGGGCCCCGGAGCCTCCAGGGACCAAGGCCTCCAGGGACCAGGGTCCCGGCCGGCCTGCGCCCCCAGTTTTGCCCCCACGCCTCCACCCGCGTCCTCCTTCTGGAGTCCTTCCAACCCGTGCAACCCTTGCAACCCTCCCATTTCCTACCGCAAACTGCCATACCATTGCGGCTGCACAGCCCAGGCCGAGACCCCCACGACGCCCGCCCGAGAAAACATGGTGGTACTGGCCCCGCTGAAGGTCGGTCAGACAGGCCTCACCGCGCATGCGCGGGAGCTTCCCCACGCCCCTTCCCGCCCCATTTTTTCCCCCTCAGTCTCGTTTCCTTACGCCGAACGGAGGCAAACCTCGCGAGCTTTCAGGGCCCAGCCTTCCGAGGCCCCACCTTCCTCCGGCGCCGGGCTGGTATTTGTCCCGCCCACTCCTATCGGCTCCATTCCGCTTCCGGTTGTCTGGGCTCTCGGTTCCGGAGGGTTATTGCTGCGGTGGTCGCGATGGGAAAGTCAGATTTTCTTACCCCGAAGGCCATTGCCAACAGGATCAAATCCAAGGGCCTTCAGAAGCTGCGCTGGTATTGCCAGATGTGCCAGAAGCAGTGCCGGGACGAGGTGAGCGGTCCCGGGCTGGCCCGCCATGCCCCGTCCTCTCTCTTGTCTGGGTCCAGCTGGAAATCCGGGCTCCAGCCCCTGATGCTGAAAGGGGAGGCGGGGAACTCAGGTCCCTAATCCTGGGGTCTGTACTGGGCGAATCAGCTGGTCCACACAGAAGGGACCCTTCCCTGCAGCCCCCGTCCTGGTAGGAACCAATAGTCTTTGACGCCTCTTTCTACCTAATCTGCCCCCAAAGAAATGGGAAATAAAAGATTTTGCAGCTCTGAGCTTGAACAATTAAATGTCAGGCGCCTCGGTAATAGCAATAACAATTATCTCTGACTTGACCTGGCTCTTAAGAGAAACACAATTATTAGGACTCACATCTTTTTTCAGGATCAGATGAGAAAGAAGAAATAAGTTCCTGCACACTACTTACCTAACAATAATTTATTGAGCAGCTACCATGTGCTAGGGCCAGGATGAGATGTGGACCAGGGTCAGACAGTCAGAATTATGAAGCCTTTGCTGCATCACTTAATTGCCGTGTGGCCTTGGGCAAGTAACTTACGTTCTCTCTGCCTGTTTACTTATCTGTAAAATGGGAACGGTAATTATACGTACTTGTAAGATTGTCGTGAATTTTAAAAGAGTGAAATATCTTTAAAGTGACTCTGGGGGTGAGGGAGGTAGCCTTTGGTCAGATCTTGAAAAGCTTTGTGTGCTGTGCTATGGAGTTTACACTTTTTCACATTAATGAGATGGATGATGAATGCGTCGCCTTGAAGAATTGAAACAGGCTAGTGATGTGATCATATTTTTCTATGGCGATTTAATTGGGTAAGGATGGGAGAAGACTTGGCAATTCTGTGTGAGGGATGAGATATTTTAAGTGGGACTCATATTGAATAACATTGATACTGTTATTTGTTTTCATTTCTCTTTAGTTCTTTCTAATTGAGTCAAAGCTGGAATTCTCACACAGAAAACTAGAGACTAGTACATTGAACCTCCATATACCCATTACCCAGATTTAACATTTTAAGTATTTTGTCATATTTACTTTTTCCTGAAATGTTTTAAAGTAATGTACAAACTTAAGGATATTTCACCTCTAAATACTTAAATAATGCATTTCTAAAATATCAGGATATTTTTCCATAGAGTCATAGTATATGTCATCACACATAACAAAATTAATAGAAATTCTTTCATGTCATCTGATACACACTACAAACCCACATTTTCTCATTTGTTCCCCCAATTGCTTTTAAAACAATTAAAAAAAAAAAAAAAAAACAAGATCAAATCAAAAGCATGAATTGGATTTGGTTATTAGGGCTTAAAAAAATAAACTTTATTTTTCAAGCAGTTTTACATTGACATGTCATTATCACCAAAACTCATAGTTTACATAAGTATTCACTCTTGGTATTGGACATTCTAAGGGTTTGGACAAAAGTCTAATGACACATATCCACCAGTGGTATAATACTGAGTGGTTTCACTGCCCTAAAAATCTCTGTGCTCCAGGCTTTTAGGGACTTTCAATTCTCCCTAAATTCTCAAATTACAGTAGGATACACTTCCTCCACCCTTTCCTTCCACTTCCCTCCTTTTTTTCTTACCATTGACTTGAAGATACTAGGTCAGTTATCAGAACATTGACACTTTCTGGATATGTTAAATTGTTTCTGTTAATTGTCATTTACCTTCTTTCTCTGACTCTTGTAATTATTGATCTAAAGACTTGATTAGGTTCAAACATTTTGGGACAAATACTTTATAGGTGATTCAATATATTTCATATTGCATTATATAAGGAAGCCCATATATCTAGTAGTGCTAAGATGATCATGTAAAGATCACAGCCTGAAAAGTAATATTTTAGAAAATATTAGAAAGTAATATTTTCCCTCTTGCAAGAGCATGCAACTAGTAGGGTGATACTTTGGAATCATGACCATATATCTAGTTTTCCTTTCACTTGTGTGTTTTAGCTTCTTTGCCTGAGCCAATTATTTCATTAGGGGTTGCAGAGTGGTTATTTTTTCTAATTCTTTTTACATTTATTATTGGCTGCTACTCATTTATAAGAAATAAGCCAGGGCTATTCAATTATTTTCAAATGTTATCCTAAAATATAGTTCCAATAGGAAAAGGAAAGTAAATGCTTAATACTTTCATTTAAGGCATTTGTGGTGATTCAGGTCTGTTTGCTCCCAGATCTGTTTATTTCCCTTCCCTACCCAGGAGGACAGCCTTGGGGAGAAGTTGACCCTAATAAGTTTCTGCCTCTGTCTTCATCTCTCGGTATTGGAAGATTGAGAGCGAGAAAGGTCAGGCCCAGAGTATTCCATTCCTACCTATCCACTCCCTTGGGTTTCCTTGAAACTAGCCTAGTCAAGATTTAGTGTTGAAATCAGGATAGTGGCAATGGGAATGAGCAGAGGGACTGGATAAGAGTTATTAAGAAAGCTGACTGGGCTTAGTGATTTGTGGGATGAAAGAGGACACTAGAATGCCAGCCTTGGTCTTGATAACGTCCTATTCACTGAGGTAGGGGTTACAGGAAGAGAGGCACATTTTTCATTTCTATTACTGGTGAAGAATCAGGTTCAAATGCTCTTTAGAACAGATACAAAGTCAAAATGTATTTCTATATACACTGAGTGGCCAGATTATTATGATCTCTGAACGCAACTATAATATAATATAATATAATATAATATAATATAATATAATATAATATAATATAATTAATATAATTAATATATATGTATATATATTAGAGGCCTGGTGCATGAATTTGTATACAGGTGGGGTCCAGCCAGCCTGGCCAGGGGGAGGGGACATGGGCAGTTGGCCGGCCTGCCTGGTGGTTGAACTCCTGGTCGAGGGGACAATTTGCATGTTAGCCTTTTATTATATTATATGAGTAATCCTTTCAAACTGTTTAGAAGAGTACCTAGAACTCAATAATAATCAGAGATCATAATAATCTGGCCACTCAGTGTATATAAAAGCCTAAGTGACCATCCAACCATCCAACGAGTTGTTATAACACGCACTGACCACCATGGGGCAGACTCGATGCAGGAGCTGCCAAGCAAAAGCAACTTTGTAGAGTGCCCTCTTGCACTCTGGGACCCCTTGGGGGATGTTGAACTTCTGGTTTCGGGTCAATCCCCGCAGGCTAGGCTGAGGGACCCCACCTGCCAAAGGGACCCTGCTCACACCACAGATGCCTTTGAGCCCCAGCACCGCCCCAGGTGCAGCTGGCAGGGGGGGGACCGCGGGAGGTTGGCTCCAGTGGGTGTCTGTCCCACCTTGCCCAGGCTTTCCCTACTGGCCACCTTCTAATTTATTAATTTCCACCACCCATATGAATTTCCTTTCAATGTGTATAAATCCATGCACTGGGCCTCTAATATTTTTTTTAAAATATATTTTATTGATTTTGTACAGAGAGGAAATGAGAGAGATAGAGAGTTAGAAACATCGATGAGAGAGAGTCATCAATCAGCTGCCTCTTGCACACCCCCTACTGGGGATATGCTCGCAACCAAGGTACATGCCCTTGACTGGAATCGAACCCGGGTCCCTTCAGTCCCCAAGCCGACGCTCTATCCATTGAGCCAAACCGGTCTCGGCTGGGCCTCTAATATTTTTATAATCATCTGAGCAGATATAGATTTAGTGTGTTTAATATAAGATTTATGTAATATGCAACAATGTATTTTGGCTAATAGCTGAAGTAGAGAAAAGAGAGTGAAAAATAGTGTCCTTACTGGAAATTAATGACCCATTTTATTTCATTATATTCCTCAAAGCTCTTGTATAACACTGTATGCAATAGGTACTCAACAGTAATTTGTTAAATTGACACAAAAAATTAAATCACTCCTATGTTACTGTGCATAGAAGTGTTTCTTACTAATGTTTTCTAAAGCACTATTTTTTTTTTTTTTTGTCTTTTTAATACCTGGAATTATTCTTTGATTAGCAGAGTTGTAAAACTCAGCTTGGTAATTTGGCTAGTGATTTTATTACTTTTTACAGTCTATCATCAAAGAGCAACTTTTTAGAGTTTAAATACTTCTACTTAGGCCCCATTATGATGACCTAAATCAGAATTTAACTACTCCCTTTACATTTTTGTAGAATGGCTTTAAGTGTCATTGTATGTCCGAATCTCATCAGAGACAACTATTGCTGGCTTCAGAAAATCCTCAGCAGTTTATGGATTATTTTTCAGAGTAAGTAACTCAAAGACATTCTTATCTCATAAGCCTCATTCAGGACATTTTATAGATGATTAATATTTTATGTACGGAAGGCTCTATTTATCCTTGCATATTAACATGATAGTTATATTTGTGCTCAGTTTCTGTCTTCCTTGTACAGTTTATCATAGTATGAAATTATTTAAAAATATTCCTCACAGTTCAGTGTTTCTTTTTATTCACTTCAAACAAACAAAACTATCTTTTCTTTTAAAAGTGTGGCTAAGAGCATAGTTCTAGAGTAAGATTTCCTGACTTTAAATTCTTTAAATCCACTCATGAGCTATGTGAGTAGTGAATGACTTAAGTTTTTTTTGGCTTTAATCTCATTTCTAAAATGAGACTAAAGATAGTCCCCTCGTCCAGGTATTGTTTCTTCTTCTTAGGGTTTATATGAGTCTATCTGAGTAATACTTTCAAATTGTTTAGAAGAGTACCTAGTACTCAATAATATTAGCTATTAATTATTAATATTTAATCTTGCTTCTCTCCATCTCTTTTTTTCTAAAGTTGTAGGTCTTTTGATTTTAGGACTGTCTTGAATGCCACCAGGGTACTTACAGTGCACTTTGGGAAATACCATTCTGGCAAGAGCCATCTACACTCAGTGCTTTCCTTGCCACCTCCCTCCCATTCACTCCGTCCACCACAGTGCCTTTTGCCTCTGTTAGACTCCTGAAGAGTCACTCATGCTTTTTTCCATCTTCCTTTTCCTTGATCTTTCTTCAATGGATTAAATCTTAACTCTCAATTGAAACATCTCTCTGATTTATATTCTTCCCTGGTTTTCCTCCTACCACTCCCTCTGCTCACTCTCTTCATTACCTCCTCTTCCTCTCCCAGCTCCTCAAATGTAGAAAGTCCTCCAGGTGCCCACTTGGCTTCTTTTCACCCCATTCTACAGTCTTCATGAGTTACATTACTCTTCTGTTACCTTTATGATTGGATAAACATAAATTCTTAAGTCTGAATGTTCATTCATAACATCTGTCTTGAGTTATAGATTTATCTTTTTTCTGGGCAATTCTAATCTATATTTCTGAGGGCCATTTCAGAGCCAACATTTCTAAAGCTGGACATAGGATTCTCCCTCGCCCCTCACCTACTGGTTATTCTTTGCTGGCTAAAAACTACCTATGCAGACTGCCAAGCTGCAAACCTAGCATCCTCTGGAAATACTTTCCTGTGGATTCTCCCTTACAATGTCCTTTAAATGTATCTTTTCTATTCTCACAGTCACAGTAATCATCCTCATTGTCTCCACCTAAAAAATTTCAGTGACTTCCTCACTGGTTTCCTGGCCTGCAGCTTCTGATCCTCTTGTATTAGTACCTGTTCTCTGCCTGTGGTTCACAAGCCAGTGCCCGATCAGAATCACCTTGAGGGCTTGTGAAGACAGAATGGCAGACTCCATACCCCTTTCTGATTCAGTAGATCTGGGAAGGGGCTGTAGACATTGCATTTCTATAAAGTGTCCAGGTGACATTAATGCTGTTGGTCTAGAGACCAGACTATGAGAACTATTATATATGCTCCAACAGCATTATCTTTCTAAATCACAGATTGTCACAAGTTAGCTAAGTAAATTATTTTATCTTTTCCATTGTCTGCATAAACCCAACTTATTTAGCATGACCATCAAGGTACTTCAAAAATTAGCCCTAATATTATAGTCCAGCTACTAGGTACATCTTCTTCTTATTGTTCTGTCTTCAGTGTTTCTTTCATCTCAAACATGTGATTCTTTCATCTTTCATGTCTCTGTGCCAGTTGGGAATGGCCTTCTCTTCTTCACCTGTAAAAGTCCTATTTATACTTCATCACCCATGTTACAAATCACCACTAGGCACCTCTGGATATCTCCCTTAATTCTTCCTGTGACATTTTGTTACATCTCTTTTTCAACTTGACTTTTGTTATGATTGGGTCTGCTAAATTATAACTGAGGTAAAGATTCATGTTTTATTCACCTATGTTTATCTAGCACTTAACACAGTGAGCTCAGTTCAAAGGGACACATTGAGTGCCAGTTTCTTATGAAATAAGGGCAGTTTTGTTATCAATAGACAAGGGTTGTTATGCCACAGTCAATAGTGCTAAGAGATTTCATGAAGGACCCTCCCCAAAAACATGTAGTCACTTTTGCTACAACTCCAAACTGACTTTTAACTTGAATTCTTGAAAACTATAATCTTTGGGGATTCTTTCCTCGTTCAGTTTTAAAAGATTCATAACAAATATTCAACAAATGTTTCATATATCTTTTGAGAATTCAAACTGGCTTAAATTTCAGGAAGATAATGCTATGTATTTATAGAAAATACTTTAATGCTTTCCTTTCTTTCTTAATTAGGGAATTCCGAAATGACTTTCTAGAACTTCTCAGGAGACGATTTGGTAAGCATTTCATGTATTATGCACAGAAAACTTTCTGGTCTATAACCTGCTCAGGATCATAGTTTCACATTTTGTTTTTAGGCACTAAGAGAGTTCACAACAACATTGTTTATAATGAATATATCAGCCACCGAGAACACATCCACATGAATGCCACTCAGTGGGAAACTCTGACTGACTTTACCAAATGGCTGGGCAGAGAAGGTAAGAATGAGACATCCTATCTAATAAAACAGTAATATGCATATTGGCCATAACTCCAACACACAAGATGGCTGCCCCCATGTGGACACAAGATAGCTGTCACAAGATGGCCAGCAGGGGAGGGCAGTTGAGAGGGACCAGGCCTGCAAGGAAGGGCAATCTGGGCCAGTCAAGCCTGTAGAGGAGGGCAGTTAGGGATGACCAGATCAGAAGAGGGAAGTTGGGGGCGACTGGGCCTGCGGGGAAGGGCAGTTTGGGGGGACCCAGACCTGCAGGGAAAAACAGTTGGAGGGGGGCAGGCTTGCAGGGAAGGGCAGTTAGGGTTGACTAAGCCTACAGGGAAGGCAGTTAGGGGTGACCAGGCCTTCAGGAGAGTGCACTTAGGGACAGTCAGGCTTGCAGGGGAGCAGATAGGCACCAATCAGGCTGGCAGGGCAGTGGTTAGGGGGTGATCAAGCTGGTAGGTAGAAGAGGTTAGGGCAATTAGGAAGTTAGGCAGGCGAGCAGTTGGGAGCCAGCAGTCCTGAATTGTGAGAGGGATGTCTGACAGTTGAACATCCCTCGAGGGGTCCCAGATTGGAGAGGGTGCAGGCTGGGCTGAGGGACACACCCTTTTCCCCCGTGCACAAATTTCGTGCACCGGGCCTCTAGTATTTAAATAATAGCCGTTATGTGGCTCCATTTCAGGGAGAGAGTGTCATAGTTTCTATATAAATTTATTGGAAAGAGGCTGAGTAAGGTAATTTAAAAAATGTGGATCCTGGCTGGAGTGGCTCAGTTGGAATATCATCCCATATACCAAAAGGTAATGGCTTCAATTCCCGGTCAGGTCAGGGCACATGTCCAGAGTGCTGGTTCGGTCCCCAGTCAGGGTGCATATGATGTTTCTCTCTCACATTGATGTTTCTCTTTCTCCTTCTCTCTTTCTCTCTCTCAAATCAATAAAAACATACAAAAAAATTTAAAACAAACAAAACAAAACAAAAAGACTGTGGAGTCCTAGCTGATGTAGCTCAGTTGGTTAGAGCATCAATCATCCCATACAGCTGAGGGTTGAGGGTTCAATTCCAGGTCGATGGTTCAATCCTGGGTCGAGGGTTCACTTCAGGTCAGAGCAAGTACTGGAGGCAACTAATGTTTCTCACATTGATGTTTCTCTCTCACTCTTTCCTCTCTTCTTTCTCTAGAATTAATGAAAAACATATCCTTGGGCGAGGATTAAAAAACAAAATGGAGAGAGGAGCATAATATTCCAGGGTTGATTTTGTGTATTACAGTTAAATATAAATGTCTGAAATCACTCTTTTGACAGTGCCAAGATTTATCACTGAAGCAACTTCTCATTTAGATTAAGGATCATTATCAATCCTCTTCCATTTTTGCTCCCCGTATTCATTTCACTTTAGGAATCTTCTTACCCCTCTTAAGTAGATTTTTTAAATGTATTGCTTTATTCATTTTTAATCTCATAGGATGAAAAGTTGGGAAGAAGAAAAGAAGGGAAATTTTGTGTCAATGTATTACCTATTCAATGTTTTAATTACTCAGTGTGCTATTTTATTTAATTTTAGGGGAATAATTTCACTTAGTTACATTAACAAAATATCATGTACTCATTGAATGTTAGACACACACAGTTGATTAATTACCAAGCAAGATAATACTTCTTTCATGTTTAAATATCTTTCCTCAACCTAGGTGGCTAAAAATCAAAATAGTAATTTATGTTCAAAGACAGAGACTATTCCACTTGAAATACATAAATCTCATTAATTATAAGTATGGAAAATTCATGTACTGCAAGAATTTTTATATTTGAATGAATGTGTAAATTTTGCAAAGATAGAACATTTATATTTACCTTCAGCTTTGATTATGTGCAAATTTATTATGTCTGTGTGTTTTTTTAAGGCTTGTGCAAAGTGGATGAGACTCCTAAAGGCTGGTACATTCAGTATATAGACAGGGACCCGGAAACTATCCGCCGGCAACTGGAACTAGAGAAAAAGAAGAAGCAGGACCTTGATGATGAAGAAAAAACTGCTAAATTTATTGAAGAACAAGTAAGAAGAGGTCTGGAAGGGAAAGAACAGGTGGGTACAGTATTATTGAGAGAGGCAATAGAAAGAAGCAAAATTGCTTGTTTTGTTAAGTATTTTGTTAAGTATTGCATTGAGTTTTGTAGGTATTGTGCCTTAAGTAGGAGGAGAAAGATCATGATGAGTTTAAAAGCCCAGATTTTGGAGTTGAGACTGAATTCACAACCTTATGTAATTGTATAATCTTCTAAACCTCATTGTTCATAGCTCTCAAAAGAGGCAGTAGTTAATCAGAAAGAAATAAGCAGATAATTTCTGCTGATTGTAATTAATGCAGGGATGGAGATAAACTGTGTGGGAGAGTGAGGAGCCAGAGCTTGCTCCAGCCTGGAGAGGACATAAAATATTTGAGGGTAAATACAATTCCTGGGTTGAGAAGTCTTAAAGAATGGTCAACACCAGAGTAAATGGGGGAGGGTGGGCAGGCATGGTGATGGTTCAGGGGTTATAATAAATAGATCAAGACATTTATTTCTAAATTACTTATTGGATACCTCCTATGTGCCAGGCACTCTTATAGACATGGGGTATACAACAGAGAACAAAAGATAAAAAATCCTATAAAATAATTCTTAATTGGAGAATATAACATATAATTTCTTAATAAGGGTCTTAATCATGTTAGAGTTGTTTCTTAGAGCTATATTGCAACATAGGTAGCAAGTACTAATATAGGAGTATTGAATATTGTTAGTAAATGCTTTGTGAACCAATCTTCAAATTGTTTTTCTCCCCAAGGAAGCCCCTGTTTTTACAGAATTAAGCAGAGAAAATGATGAAGAGAAAGGTAATTTTACTTGTTTTTCTTTTATTAATGTGGATGCTTTTCCATTGGTTCTGCTAAAAGTAGGCATGTTTGGAAGCAAGATGCAATCTGTCAGGATTGCATTGTTCTCATTGATAAAAAGGCATTACTGATGAATTTGATGGGATGCCCTCAGCTACAAATAAAAACAAAACTGGCAAATAACAAATTAGCCTAAACAATAAGGAACTATTTTGTCATATCAAGAGTTCCACAGGTAGGGTAGTGCAGGATGCTGAACTATCAGCAGCTGGACAAGAGGTGGCTGCTGGCACTTCTGGCCGTCATGTGCAGACCCAGCATAGTCCCGAGGATGACAGACAGAGCATCTCTCCAGGAGTTCCTTATGAGCAGATACTCCTCCCACCAGTGGACTTCTTTTTAGATGTCATTGATCACATGTCCACCTAAAGAACCATCACAGGGAAGGGAATGGGATTGTTTTGATTTATTTATACCAAAACACCCTTACTAATCACCTCCCAAGGGTCCCACTTTGTAATCCTGATGCCTCCGGCATTCCCTTTTCAGCTAGTTCAAGTATGAATTTTGGGAGATACAAACATTCAGACCATTGCACCCTTTGAGCCATGTTTGAGAGGTATGGACACGTAAACAAAATTGAATTCCTGTTAGTGAAGGGAGGAGGGCAGCAGAGTAGAAAGGAGTGCAGGCTATCTGCTACAGTGCTTGATCACGAAGGTCTTTCCCAGCCCTGTGAGCATCCATCCAGCATATTCTACAGGAATTTATGACCTCTGGATGGAAGCATTCCAGCTCTCATTTATTCAAAATGCCCATGGAAAACAACAAAAACAAAATGCCCGTGAATTTCTGTGTGGATATATTGTGGTATCTGATAATTTTTATTATCATTTTCCTAAAATATGCAATACCAATTTTTTTCTCCTAGTGGCATTTAATTTGAATAAAGGAGCATGTAGTTCGACAGCAACATCTTCCAAGTCAAGGTAAGCTGCATGAACAGGTATCTTAGAAATTGAGAATTTCTGTGAAATATTGATGACTACATTTTAAAAGCTGCAGTATTAAAAAAAAAGAAAAGAAAGAAAAACTGCAGTATTGTAAATTATTTTTTTCTGGTTGTACTTTTCGTTTTTTTGCTTGACGGTTGGTTTGCTTGACGTTGTGATTAATAGCTATTTTTTTCCTTACACTTGCCTGTCATAAGATGACTGAGTCTTTTGAGGAAAGGGTTTTTTTATTAAAGGCTTCGCATGGATAAACTATTACTTCTCCATGCATCCTCCCCGACTTAATGGTTTCTCTGCTACTGCAGTATTGTTTATTTTTCTATCATAGTCCATTTAGCAAATTTAAATGTTAGCTAGGATATATATTTTTTGCTTTACCTGCTGTGTTACAGTTTTCTGAAAATAGAGTCAACATTATTGAGTCATCTCCTTGGTAGACCACCTAGTACAGTATAAATGCACCAGTGGTCACTCAGTAAGAATTGCCTTCTCTTCTAGATGGTATAATATAGGCAGGAGTCCACAAACTTTTCTGTAAAGGGCCACATAGTGAATACTTTAGTCATTGTTGGTCATCCTATCTATGCAAATTAACCATCACTCCACCACACCCATAATCCACACCCACCAGCCAATCAGGAGTGAGTATGCCACTTAACCCAATTAAGATGGCTGTGGCCATGGAGCGAGCAGGAGGCTTGGGTTTCTCCAGAAATGGAGGAAGCCAAGCTTTCTGCACATCCTGGCAGGTCCAGGCCTTCACTAAAGGCTACAAAGTTTTTAATTATAGAAAATAATTAAGTCTCTGCAGAGCTGGAGAGAGCAAGAGGCTTGAGTTGCCCCCAGTGATGGAGGAAGCCAAGTTTCTGCAGCCTTAGCCAGCCTTGACCTCTGCTTAAGGCTAAAAAGTTTCAATTATTAAAAACAAATAAATCTCAGATACCAGGGCTTCTGCTTGGGTCACCAGGGGGCATGGTTGGCCTGCAAACTACCACAGGCCCCTAGCCCAAGCCACCCCAGGCCCAAAGTGAACCTCCAGCCTGACCTAAAACACCCTTCAGGGTAAATCAACTGGCACCCACCCATGCATCAGGCCTCTAATAATACTGTCTAATAAAAGAGTAATATGCAAATTGATCTTCATCTAACACAAAAGATGGCTTCCCCCATGAGGACACAAATGGCGGCAGGGGAGGGTAGTTGGGAGGAACCAGGCCTGCAAGGGAGGGCAGTTGTGGACCATCAGGCCAGCAGGGGAGGGCAGTTGGGAGGGACCAGCCTGAAAGGGAGGACAGTTGGGGACAATCAAGCCTGCAGGGAAGGGCAGTTAGGAGTGACCAGTCTAGCAGAGGAGGGAAGTTGGGTGTGACCAGGCCTCCAGGAGAGGGCAGTTGGGGAGGGAGGGAGACCCAGGCCTGCAGGGGAGGGCAGTTAGGGGCAAACAGGCTGGCAGCAGTGCAGTTAGACATCAATCAGGCTGGCAGGGGAGTGGTTAGTGGGTGATCAGACTGGTAGGCAGAAGAGGTTAGGGGCAGTCAGGAAAGTAGGCAGGCGAATAGTTGGTAGCCAGCAGTCCCAAATTGTGAGAGGGATGTCCGACTGCCTGTTTATGCCCGATCCTACCAGGATATGTCTTTGTCACAAACATTTAACTGCTGCCAGAGTGAGAAAGCAAAAACATAGGCAATATGTAAACGAATGAGAATGCTGTGTTCCAGTAACATCATATTTGTAAAGTTAGGCCGCAGGCTGGATTTTGTCCTTAGGCTGCAGTTTGCCAAACCCTGATATAGCATGTAGTCAGGTACTTATCATTTTTCATGTTCTTTTCTAGTTATACTAGAGACCCTGTGCATAAATTTTTGCACCAGTGGGGTCCCTAGGCCTGGCTTGTGGAATTGGGCCGAAACTGGCTCTCAGACATCCCCTGAGGGGTCCTGGATTGTGAGAGGTCACTGGCCAGGCTGAGGGACCCCACCAGTGCACTATCAGAGCTGGGGAGGATTGCAGGAGGCTGGCTAGTATGCCGTGCCAGCACAGCCAAGGGTTCGGCAAGCCTGAGGAGGGCTGGTGAAGGATGAAGAAAAGACAGAATAAGCCGGGTCTAGGTGGATCTTCTGTGCCTGGCTGAGACCACAGAAAAGATACAGACTGCAAGCTGAGCCTTTATTTTATAGTCAGAGGTAAAGAAGGTAATTTACAATGTTCTTGTAAGTTTCACTTCTTTTGACAGCACCTGCTGCACCTGTTAGCCCATTAACTAACAAGGAAAGATTTAGGGAGCATCACAAGATCAAGCTTAATTATGCTAAGAAGGCTGTGCCCTCTAAGCTAGGACTTGTTTGTGGCTTTGCCAACAGGGCAGTCCAAGGCTTTACCATATAACTGCTCCCTACAGGCCAATTTGGAAGGGACTGTGGGAGGGCTCCAGGCTGTGTTCGGCCCATCTCGCTCAGTCCTGATCAGCCAGACCCCAGTGGCAGGCTCATCTACTGGTTGGAGCATCTGCCCCCTGGTGGTCAGTGCATGTCATAGCAAGCGTTTGAGCAGCTGTAACATATCATTAGCATATTACACTTTGATTGGTTGAACGGCCAAGGCCAACTAGACGCTTACCATATTAGGCTTTTATTATATAGAATAGTGCCCCAGTGCACAAAATTCGTGCACAGGAAGGGGGTCTCCCTCAATTTGGCCTCAATCTGGCATCCCTCAAGTATGTCCTACTGTCTGTGTACAGGGATCGGGCCTAAACTGGCAGTTGGACATCCCTTTCACAATCCGGGACTGCTGGCTCCTAACCGCTCACCTGCCTATCTGATTATCCCTAACCACTCTGCCTGCCGGCTTGCTTGCCCGAAACTGCCCTCCGCCACTGGCCTGCTTGCCTCCAAATGCCCCTCACCGTCAACCTGATCACCCCCAACTGCCCCCTGTGCCAGTGTGCTTGCTCCCAACTGCCCCTCTACTGACCTGCTCGCCCCCACTTTCCCTCTCCACTGACCTGCTCACCCCAGCTGCCCCCCTGCTGGCCTGCTCATTCCAAATTGGCCCCCCCTTGCTGTCCTGATCAACTCCAACTGACCCCCACTGATGGCCTGCATGCCCCCAGCTGACCCCCCTGCTACTCTGCTTACTCCCAAAAGCCACACCCCCCCACCAGCCTGATCACTATCAACTGCCGTCCCATCCTGGCCTGATCACTCACAACTGCCCTCCCCTCTTGGTCTCTAATCGCCTCTACCTCGGCCCCACCACCATGGCTTTGTCCAGAAGAACATCTGGAAGGTCTCCTGGAAGATCTTCCAGTATAATTTGCATATTACCCTTTTATTAGTATAGATATTCTTTTACCAAAAATCCACTGTTCGTAATATGCAATGCATTCAGTTTGGTTAAAGAGGTTAAAAAGCTAAATAAAAGAGAAGATGTTCAGGAAGGTACCAAGATATATGTGGAGTTAGTTTTAAACTGTATTTTTTTTATTAAATTATTATTTTTGTACATATACCAATGCCCCCCCTCCCATATAAACTGTATTTTAAATATTGTGTTTTTAAGGCTCTCAGACTTTGGGGAAAGAGTGGCATTAATTTATTAGTATAGGTTAGTGCCTACTTGGCATGACTAAAGTGGCTAGGAGAATGCTCTGTATCTGACAGAACTAAAGTGGCTAGGAGAATTGGAGGAAATGGACTGGCTGAGTTAGCAATATATGCCTGCTTCAGAATGGCTTGCCAAATGTCTTAGCTTTCAGAATTGTGGAGTGTGATGTATGCCATGAAGTGCTATGGCATTTCAAAAAAATGACAATTCAAGAAAACTCATGAATAATGGATCTCAAAGAATTTTAACAAATGGAGAAAAATTGAGAGATTCTTGTAGGTATAAAAAAGGCATGTGAAAATTTGCAAAGGCATGGAGCATAGGGCATGGCTCAGTTAATAGCTAATTGTTTATTATGGCCAGTGAACATAAAAATCAGAGATAGTACTCTGGGGTCAGTGATGACAATTTCATATCAGCATTAAAAAAAAATTAAAATCGCCCTAACTGGTTTGGTTCAGTGGATAAGAGTGTCGGCCTGTGGACTGAAGGGTCCCACGTTCAATTCAGGTCAAGGGCATGTACCTTGGTTGCAAGCACATCTCCAGAAGGGGGTGTGCAGGAGGCAGCTGATCGATGTTTCTAACTCCCTATTGCTCTCCCTTCCTCTCTGTAAAAAAATCAATAAATATATTTTTTTAAAATTAGAATTTACACTGTCAACTAGGAGGTCAGGCAATAAAAAAATAAGTGACATGTTAAGACCTTTGCTTTAAAAAATAGAGCTGACAATAATGTGTTAGATTTCTAGCAGTCATTTTACAAACATTTGATCCCTGTATTTGAGCTCAGAGTTGGGTCACATTATTATCCCCATCATAATAATAAAGAGCTAATATGCTAAGGGTTGGGATGCTGTAATGTGTAATACTGATGGCAGGAGGCTACCTGCGCGTGCGCAGTGGGGTGTTGCTCCCGAGACCGGGTGGAAGCGGAGAAGCAACGGAGGAGGGGGGACTATCCCATCCCGGGGAGGGCAGGGCTGAGAGCCCATAGCACCCCCCTCACCAGTCCTTCGCCACCACCTGCCGGGGGAAGGAGCACAGTGCAGCAGGCGGAAGGCTCCCACACTCTCCCCCGGTGCCATGATGGGGTTGAGCCACTGTGCTGATCTGGAGACAGGGTGGAAGCCGGAAGGCGCCAGCCTCTGGAGGGACTGAGGGCGGGCTTGAAGTGGCCAGAGAAGGCCAGCTCCACGCTGGAGCTCTGTGTGGAGTGGTTCAGGTTGTCAAGGCAGGGCTGCACAGCACGGTTTCACGTACTGGACCCCTAGTTTATAGATGAGGAACTGAGGCTTAGAAAAGTTCATTACTCAAAGTTCTAAGAGAAGTAGCCTCAAACCTGAAGTGCCTAACACTGAAGCCAGTGCTGTCATCACTCTGCTATTCTGGTTATATTGACCCTTGTTGAAGGAGTAAGTAGATGAAGGCAGGAAGGATTACATGTTCTGGTGTCAAATCGTGTAAGGGACGCCAATGATTCCTTCATTGCTTCCACTGTTCTGTTATAAATGAATCATATAACACATTTCTTCTGTTATTTATTCTGCACATTCTAAAGCCTTTCTCTGTGTATAGTTTTGTTAACAAGCACAGTTCTTCTTGTCAGTTCTTTGGGACCAAGTGCATTGAAGGTGATAGAGGCCACAGCATCAGTGAAACGAAAAGAACCTTCCCATAGCTCAGCTCAACCAAAAGAAAAGAAGAAAAAGAAGTCTGCACTGGATGAAATCATGGAGGTACAGTTGATGAACTTCCTGTTTACTCTTTAGCATTGGAGGAATGATGCAGCTTAAACTAAGGAAACTTAAATAGTTTCACCTTTGTTAGGTTACTATAAAATTAAAAAATGTGCACATGCTAGGTTAGGAAAAAGGAGCCTAAATGCAGTTTCATTGGAATAGAATTTCCAAAAGCTTTAGTTTCTTGCTACAAGTGTTGTTTTCAGAACTCTCCATGCAATTATGTGGAGTTCAAAGAGAAGGACTTCAGTGGTAATGGGAACTAGGCATGAAAGCTCTGTTTCCCTTCAGAGGCTGTGAAGTTGGCATCCTCCAAGGATTCTCCCACTAACCTTTGCTCTCCTGTTGTCTTAACTTCCACTTGTCGCCTTTTAGCAAGTAAGAAAGAAGCTGTGACCTAACTAGTCTTAATTTGATGTAACCTGATGGCTAAGTTTATGTGGTGAGCCATTGAAAACTTATGACTATCAGGATCTAGGGCCATACTTTTTACCTGGATTCTAGAGCAATTCTGCAGAAAATTCTTAATGTACTCCTAAATATTCCTTTTGCCCTTCTAAGTATTATATAAATCTTCTTTTTCCCCCATTGACCTCTCCCTGGCCTCCCCCGTCCCCCTAACACATGCCCTCACACCCTCTGCCCTCCCAATCTGTGTCCATTGGTTATGCTCATATGCATGTATACAAGTCCTTTGGTTGATCTCTTACCCCCTCACCCCCTGCCTTTTCTCATAGGTTGGGCAATCTGTTCAATGCTTCAATGACTCTAGTTCTATTTTGTTCATCAGTTTATGTTGTTCATTATATTCCACTAATGAGTGCCATCATGTGATGTTTATCTTTCTCTGACTGACTTATTTCAGTTAGCATAATGCTCTCCAGTTCTATCCATGGTGTCACAAGTGGTAAGAATTCCTTCTTTTTTACAGCAGTATAGTATTCCATTTTGTAGATGTACCTCAGTTTTCTAATCCACTCATCTGCTGATGGGAACTTACTAGAAGGCTCTTTCCAAATCTTACCTATTGTAAATTGTGCTGCTATGAACATAGGGCTGCATATATCCTTTCTGATTAGTGTTTCTATTTCCTTGGGATATATTCCTAGAAGTGGGATGATTGAGTCAAATGGAAGTCCCATTTTTAAATTTTTGAGGAAACGCCATACTGTCTTACACCAGTCTGCATTCCCACCAGCAATGTAAGAAGGTTCCTTTTTCTCTGCATCCTCTCTAGCACTTGTTGGTTGATTTCTTGATGATAGCCATTCTGATTGGTGTGAGATAATACCTCATTGTTGATTTGATTTGTATCTATCAGATGATTAGTGACTTTGAGTATGTTTTCATATGTCTCTTGGCTTCTGTATGTCCTCTTTCGAAAAGTGTCTAATTAGGCCCTTTGCCCATTTTTTGATTGAGTTGTTTATTTTCCTTTTGTTAAGTTGTATGAGTTCCCTATAAATTTTGGAGATTAAAGACTTGTTGAAGATAACATTGGTAAATATGTTCTCCCCTGTGGTGGGCTTTCTTGTTTTATTGATGGTTTCTTTTGCTCTAGAGAGGCTTTTTATTTTGATGTAGTCCCATTCATTTATTTTCTCCTTAGTTTCTATTATCCTAGGAGCCGTATCAGTAAAGATATTGCTATGACAAATCAGCTGTATCAGTAAAGATTTTGCTGCCCATGGCTTCTAAGATTTTTATCATTTCCCGTTTTACATTTAAGTCCTTTTTCCATTTTGAGTTTATTTTTGTGTATGGTGTAAGTTGGTGATCTAGTTTCTTTCTTTGTTTCTTTCTTTGTTTCTTTCTTTCTTTCTTTCTTTCTTTCTTTCTTTCTTTTTTTATGTATGTGTCCAATTTTCTCAACACCATTTATTGAAGAGACTGTCTTGGCTACATTGTATGCCCTTGCCTCCTTTGTCAAATATCAATTGAGCATAATGGCTTGTGTTGATTTCTGGGTTCTCTGTTCTGTTCCATTGGTTTATATGTCTGTTCTTGTGGCAGTACCAGGCAGTTTTGAAAACAGTGGCTTTGTAGTATAGCTAGATATCTGGTATTGTGATTCCCTCCAACTTTGTCCTTCTTCCTCAAGATCACTGCAACTATTCGTGGTCTTTCTAAATTCTAGATGAGTTTTTGGAGAGTTTGTTCTAGGGCTTTGAAACATGTTGGTATTTTAATGGGGATTGCATTGAATTTATAAATTGCTTTGGGTAGTATGGACATTTTAATGATGTTGACTCTACCAATCCATGAGCATGATATATTTTTCCATTTGTTTATGTCTTCCTCTATCTTTTTTTTCAGCATCCTATAATTTTATGAGTACAAGTCCTTTACCTCCTTAGTTAAATTAATTCCTAGGTATCTTAAGTTTTTTTGTTGCAATGGTAAATGGGATTGATTTTTTTAGTTTCTCTTTCTGGAGTTCATTATTATTGTATAAAAAGCCATAGATTTATGGGTGTTAATTTGTATCCTTAAGTCTAGTAGTTTTTTGATGGAATCTTTGGAGTTTGGATACTGTATATGATACTATGTACAGTATCATGTCATGTGCAATAGTGACAGTTTTACTTTTTTTTTTTAATTTGGATGCCTTTTATGTCTTCTTATCTGATTGCTATGGCTAGCACTTCCAGTACTATGTTGAACAGGAGTGGTGAAAGTGGCTATTCCTGTCTTGTTCCTGCTCTTAGGGAAAATGGTTTTAGTCTTTGCTCATTGTGTATTATCTTGGCTATAGGTTTGTCATATAAGGCTTTTAATATATTGAAGTAAGATCCCTTTATTCCCACTTTGCTGACAGTTTTTAGAAGGAAAGGGTGCTGGATTTGTGAAATGCCTTTTCTGCATCAATTAATACAATTATGTGATTTTTGTCTCTCAGTTTGTTTATATGATGTATCACTTTTATTGATTTTCAGATATTCTACCAGCCTTGCATCCCTGGAATAAATCCCACTTTCAGAAAGGTCATGGTGTATGATCTTTCTGTTAATGCTAGATCCTATTTGCTAAAATTTTGCCGAGGATTTTAGCATCTATCTTCATCAGGGATATTGGCCTGCAGTTCTTTCTTTGTAGTGCCTTTATCTGGTTTGGGGGTTAGGGTAATGATGGTTTCATAGAAATAGCTTAGAATGTGCCTTCCTCTTGAATTTTTTGGAATAGTCTGAGCAGGATAGGTTTTAGTTCTTCTTTGAATGTTTGGTAAACTCCCCTGTGAAGCTGTCTGGCCCTGGGCTTTTGTTTGCTGGGAGTTTTAGACGACTGCTTCAATTTCCTCCTTAGTTATCAATTGTTGAGATTTTTTTATTCTTCTTGATTGAGTTTTGGAAGGTTGTATTTTTCTAGGAATATGTCCATTTCCTCTAGGTTGTCCATTTTGTTGGAATAGAGTTGTTCATAGTATTTTTTTACAATCCTTTTATTTCTGTGGGGTCTGTTGTTATTTCGCCTCTTTCATTTCTGATTTTGTTTAAGTTGGTCCTCTTTGTTTCTTGATGAGCCTGGCTAGAGGTTTATCTGTCTTGTTTATCCTTTCAAGGAACCAGCTCTTGGTTTCATTAATCTTGTATATTGTTTTTTGGTCTCTGTGTCATTTATTTCTGATCTGATCTTTATTATCTCCTTCTTTCTGCTCCCTTGATTTCTCTTGTTGCTCTCTTTCTAATTCTTTAAGTTGTAGAGTTGGATAATTATTACCAGTTTTTCTTTTTTCTTTTTTCTTTTCTTTTTTTTTTTTTTTTTTTTTTTTGTGTGTGTGTGTGTGTGTGTGTGTGTGTGTGTGTGTGTGTTTAGATAGGCCTGTAATGCTATGAACTTCCCTCTCAGGGACATAGCTTTTACTGTGTCCCATAGGTTTCTGATTGTTGTGTTTTTGTTGTTATTCATTTCCAGGATGTTTTTAATTTCTTCTTTGATCTCTTTGGTAACCCACTCATTGTTGAATAGCATGCCATTCAGCCTCAAAGTGTTTGAGTATTTTTTTGCTTGTTTTTATTGTAGTTGATTTATAATATTATGCCATTGTGGTCTGAGAAGATGTTTGATATAATTTCAATCTTCTTGAATTTGGAGAGACTTTGCCTGTGACCCAATATGTGGTCTATCTTTTAAAATGACCCATGTGTACTTGAGAAGAATATATATTCTGTAACTTTGGGGTGAAATGTTCTGAAGATGTCAGTTAAGACCATCTGATCTAATGAGTCACTTACGATTGCTTTTTCTTTACTCTTGTTTTGTCTAGAGTATTTATTCAGTGATGTCTGTGGAGTATTAAAATCCCCTACTATGATTGTATTGCTGTCGATCTCTTCCTTGATATCTTCCAGAAGGTTTTTTTTTTTTTTTTTTTTTACTGTATTTAGGTATTCCTATATTGGGTGCATATATGTTTACCAGAGTTATATCCTCTTGTATCAAACCCTTTAGCATTATGAAGTATGCCTTTTGATCTTTCCATCACCCTTTTATGTACATCTCTCTTGGTGATATGTTTTGTCTCTTCCCTTTACAAGTTTTATTATTTTTATCAAACAGAGTAGCTCCTTTTTACCATAACACTCTGTACCTAACTATGCTGTGCTAAATTGGTCTATAAGTGGGATTTTGTTTTTTAATATATTTTATTGATTTTTTACAGAGAGGAAGGGAGAGGGATAGAGAGTCAGAAACATCAATGAAAGAGAAACATTGATCAGTTGCCTCCTGCACGCCCCCTATTGGGGATGTGCCCGCAACCAAGGCACATGCCCTTGACTGGAATCGAACTTGGGACCCTGCAGTCCACAGGCCAATGCTTTATCCACTGAGCCTAACCAGTCAGGGCTATAAGCGTTTTTACCACATTAAAACATTGCCTGTTTTCTAGTTCATGACAGTCGCATGGGAGGAAGCATGGGGATGCAGTACTGTAGTGCTCTCAGATTGCCTTGCAGAGGTTGCTTGTGTTTATTTTCTTGGTCAGTTGGTAGTTTTATGATGTATTATTTTTTAAACCAAGTTTTAAAAAAATATCAAAACTCATTGTCAAAACATGTTACATGCAAATTACATTGTTGATCTTCTGAGAAGTATGTGTTTTCTGTTCTTTTCCTAAATAAAAATTTTTTCATACAAATTGAGGATTTTAAAGAGATTTTTTAATAATTGTCTTGTGTGTTCTACAGATTGAAGAGGAAAAGAAAAGAGCTGCCCGAACAGATTACTGGCTACAGCCTGTATGTATTCAGTTGGAGTGTCTTAAGTTATATATGTAATTTCAAGTGAATGATTTAAGTAGTATTTGGTATAAATGACTAAATTTCTCAACTATATATATAAACTACATAGATAGACATAACTTCAGTGAGCTTTTTTACTCTTTGATCCTTAATTATTGGTTGCACCTGTATTGGAGGGTTACTTGTTTATTAGGCTGGTCATATTTCTTGAGTTTAATGCCAAACTTGTTCATGGCACCTTGAATTTAAGCCTGGAATTATTTCCATTTTAGCCATAAGACAAAAGATGGTAGTTTCAGAGATGGAATTAAATAGAATTGTAAGTGCAAAAGTACTTGTTATCAACTTATTAGGTCTAGTAATAATTAATGTCGTTTCCTAATACCTTTTTTAAATCGAATTTATTTAAACAATACAACAAAATTTAATCAACAATATAGTTGCCATTGTTTTCTACTACTTGTGCCCAACGCTCAGGAAGCATTTTAATCCCTCTGTTGTAAAATTCTTGTGATTTTGATGCAAAAAATTCGGTCAATGCATTTTTGAGGCATTCTTCATTATTAAATTTTTTTCCAAGAAGAAAGTTTTGCAAAGAACGAAACAAATGGTAATCGGAAGGGGCAATATCAGGAGAATATGCAGGTTGAGGGAGAACTTCCCATCCCAACTGGCGCAGTTTTTCAGCAGTGATTCTTGCAGTATTCGGTCGTGCTTTATCGTGGTGAAGAATTACGCCCTTCCGATTAATCAGCTCGGGTTCTTTTTCTCTTCAAGCTTGGGCTAACCTTTCCAATTGGGCACTAGACACTGCACTTGTAATGGTTTGGTTAGATGGTAAAAGTTCATAATGAAGAATTCCTTTAAAATTCCACCAAACACACAACATCACTTTTTTCGCATGCAAGTCAGGTTTTGGCGTGGGCTGCGGAGCCTCATTTTTGTCCAACCATTGAGGCCGCCTTTTCAAATTAACATACAGCACCCATTTTTTATCTCCGGTAACAATTTGCTCTAAAAACGGCAAACGGTTTTGACGAGAGAGGAGCGAACTGCAAATTGTGACTCTTTGATTACGGTTGTTGTCGGTCAACTCATGAGGAACCCATTTTCCAAACTTTTGGACTTTGCCAAGTGCACGCAATTGATTGGAAATTGTTTTTTGTGAACAATTTAAAGTTGTCGCGAGCTCTTGTTGGGTAATTTGAGGATTTTGCACCAAAAGAGCTTGAAGAGCTTCTTGATCAAAATTGGACACACGGCCTCGACCACTCTTGTCATCTAACGAAAAATTTCCCTGGCAAAATTTCTCAAACCAACGCTGGCATTTTCTGGCGCTAACTGCATCTTGACCAAGAGCACTACAGATGTTTTTTGCAGCCTCACTTGCTTTTCTTCCTAATTGGAACTCGTAAAGCATGCAGTGCCGAATATGCTCTTCATCCGCCATCTTCTTAGCCCTAGTTTTGCAACAAAAACCAAAACAAACACAAACTTTTTCAAGCAAAACTTGTTAATTGCACTTCACAGGTTCTGTAGATACCACGTGTTTGAAGGTTATGTCAATACAAGTCAACGCCAAGCAAGATTTTAAACAAATGTTTAAAAACGACATTAATTATTACTAGACCCGATATATCTTATTGAACTTAGGATACCCATTTATGTACTTTGTACAAATAAAAAGGATTTGAATTTTACAAACTCAAGGAAAGTTTATTTTGTTGCTTACTTATTGTTTATTATTTTAAGATAATTTTATAACAATTTGTAAACATTTGAATAATTTTTAAATTACTGTCAGTTGATGATTCTGTTTTGAACTTATTGAAATCATAAAACCTTTAGAGGGCCTTCATTATTCTTAAAGAAGTTGGCTTGATCAATAATAGGAGAGGGGAAAAGTACTGTGCTATTTAGAGAATTTTTGATTTGAAAAATAAGAAAAGTACTAACCTCAGAAGTTAAGAAGTCCAAAGTTCTGATTCAAATCTTCATAGTCATTCTCTCACTAGTTTGGAAATAATTTAGCTCCCATGACTTACTTTATATTTGAGTATTATGGGAAACATTTCTACCTCAGGATCACATGACAGAGGACGAAATAAGATATTTAATACAAAAATACTGTGTTAAATATAAAGTAATAATGTTAGATAAGTAATTTCAGTAAATTCTCATATAAGCTCTATAAGGTAATTAATGTTATTATACCAATTTTGTAGGTGAGGAAACTGAGGTATAAAGTATTTGAGTAATTTCCTCAGGGTCATTTAGGAAGTGATGAGCCAGGATTTCCCTGGCAATCTGATTTCAGTGGGTTATATTCTCAACTAGTAAATTTCTTTTTCCTGGGAAACTTTAGTCACCCTGACTTTGTGTCTGAGTAGAATCTGGGTCAAAATTATTAGTAAAGGAAGGACCTGAAGGGAAGATACTGTGCATGAATTATTTTAGTTTCCTCTGTTAAAGTAGCTAGCATTTGAACATTTATGAAAATGTAATCAAGAATTGTGATTAAGCCAAATCCGGTTTGGCTCAGTGGATAGAGTGTCGACCTGCAGACTGACGAGGCCCAGATTTGATTCCGGTCAAGGGCATGTACCTTGGTTGTGAGCACATCTCCGGTAGGGGGTGTGCAGGAGACAGCTGGTCTATATTTCTCTCATTGATGTTTCTAGCTCTCTATCCCTCTTCCTTCCTCTCTGTAAAAAATCAATAAAATATATTTTTTTAAAAAATTGTGATTAAATGCCCTTGCTGGTTTGGCTCAGTAGATAGAAAATCAGCCTGGGTCTGAAGGTCCCATGTTCAATTCCAGTCAAGGGCACATGCCTGTGTTGCGGGCTCAGTCCCCAGTGGGGGGCATGCAGGAGGCAGCCAATCAATGATTTTCTCTCATCATTGATGTTTCTATCTTTTCCTCTCTGAAATCAATAAAAATGTATTTTAAAAAATAATTCTGATTAAAGCAGTTCTTTACCATTAGTGATTAAGAAAATTTTTTATCCTATGCTTACCTCCATCTCTATAATAGCAAACATCATAGAACAGTTTATTTTATACAGTGGTCCTCTGGACACAAAAGCTTAGGCTACAATAAGTCATGGGATTTCAAAATACACCTGATTTAGTACTCCCAACATCCAGTATCCTGGTGTGAAATGCACATTTTCACTAACCTCCCAGGTGAATCTTTCATGTACCCTTGGTTAAAAACCATTGTTTTAAAGAGAAAAGAAAACAAACTAAAAGAAAAAAGACAAAACATTTCAAAATTAATTAGCCTAAAAATTCTCTTCCTATTGACAAAACTTATAATTAAATTTTATTTTCTGTTGTTAATTTTCTTATATTGTAAATTATGGAGCTTTTCTACATAGTTCCTTTTACAGAGTGTCACGTATAAAATGAGAATGACTCAGTGTGTTTCTTATTTTCAAAGGGGCATTATGTTTATTAAAATAGCTAGCAGTTTACAGAAATAGTTTGGAGAACTTTATTTTTTGAACTCAGAAAAGAAAGGTTTTTGAACAGATCTATTATAAGTGTCATTAAGTTCAATGATGTAAAGAACTATCTTTAAATGAAGGCCTTCGATTTAGTCCTCTGGCTGAATCAGAGAAGCTGTTTTAATATTATTTGGTTTCATTTCATTTAGAAAGTCTTAGTAAAATAAAAGCTTAAAAATAATACCCTTCAAAGCATTCTCTATATCTCTTTTTTTTTTCCAAGTCTTCTCTTAAACATGTCTTTCTATTATTGAATATCATCCCCCAAGGTCCTTACTGAATTTTTGTTCATACAATTTTTAGTATGGCTTAGTGAAGTACTCATGACCATCTACCAGGGTGGGGAACATCCAGCCTGCTGGCCATATAAGTCCTGAGAAATTACATAAGGCCAAGGCATTATGAGTGAGTTAATTAAACCAAATATAGCAGGCTAATTTTTAAGTTGATAATTTTGTATGGCCCTCAAATGATGTTATAAATATCCAATGGCCCTTCACAGAAAAAAGGTTCCCCACCCCTGAACTAGTACCTCTGTTACTGTTATTTGAAGTAGCAAATATAGAATTACTGTAGTGAATATAGCAATAAGTTACATGGCTTAATATTGATTATCAGCCATGACACAGCTAATTCACATCAGGAAATAGCAATGAAGAAGCAAACTCAGAATGCATTAATCTATATATATGAAAGCCTAAGCAACTGGTTGACTGTTTGACCACTCAACTGGTTGCTATGACGCGCAATGATCACCAGGAGGCAGATGCTCAACACACAGGCATGGAAACATGAAACTGAGTCTCAGCGGGGAGGGTGGAAAGAGATTAAAGATCTTATATGCATACTAGAGGCCTGGTGCACACATTCGTGCACCAGTGGGGTCTCTCAGCCTGGCTTACGGGGATCAGTCCAAATTAGTGCATTGGGCCTCTGACATTCCCCAAAGGGTCTCGGATTGTGAGAGGGCACAGGCCAGGCCAAAGGACCCCACCAGTGCATGAACCCAGGCACCAGGTCTCTAGTATTAAATAAGCCTGGATTTCTGATACTTTTAATTGGAGCTAATCTTGGGAGGGATCTGATGTGTATCAAAAATGAAAGCAACATAATGAGAAAAGAACACTGTACAGTGTCATGTCCTGAGGATTCCCAGTGAGACTCTTGGCATCTGCATTTTTATCAGCAGTGAACACCAGCAGTATAATATCCTTAACACTTTCCACTTCCTTAAGTGGATAGAGAGAAAGAAGCTGTTTATGAAGAACATGAGTTAATAGAGTTGAGATTTATTTATAAAAGTCCTAGATTTTAAGAAATCTTTACTATGGAAATCAGCCATTAGATATATTTTTTTCTCTCTCGGTAGCTGTATTTAATAAAAAGAGAAAGAAGGAATGAAAGATTACTAAGGAAGTACCATTATTGGGAAGGCTTAGAACTCCAAATTTTATTATTTAGCAGAGTAGTCACATTTTATGATGATTTTTGGTGAACACAATTTAAAATGAAGGAGTAAAACAGAAAAGATAATTTATCTTTCCTTTTTTTTTTTTGTTATTTTTAGGAAATAATTGTGAAAATTATAACCAAAAAACTTGGAGAGAAATATCACAAGAAAAAAGGCATTGTTAAGGTAAGAACATGAAGTTAAAAATGGAATTTATGATAGGAGTCTTGGGTGACTGAGGAAATCCATTTTGGTACTCTTTAAAAATCAAGTCCTAGTAGCAGAAAGTATATGTCTAAGGTACTTGATGGTTCTATAAAAGGAAAAATGAATTCATAATCATTGGAGATATAATTCATTGTCAATCATTGTTTATACTTAATCTCTGTTTGCTTTCTTACTGGAGCAAATAGTATGTATCAGATCCCATTGGCACCTGTTAAACTCAGTGTTAAACTCAGTGTAATCAGTAAGATGCATTCTCTTTGTTGATGATGGGCAATGTAATTGTGCCCCCCAGAGTTCCAAGGAGGCCTTTCGTGTGATTTGCCTTAAGAGATTATCTTTTGATTGCCCTAGGATTTTAAAACTTAAAAAATCAACACTCCAGTCCTTTCTTCCCTTTTGTTTTTCCTAAATACAGCTCATTTCAGCACCCAGCCTGTGCATGCATAAATTGCCCTTCCACTGTTTTTGAAGCTAAGTGAAATTATCCCTCTCACTATATTTCTTAAAATCTTATTCTGAGATCACCAGTTTTTAGTCTTTCCAAATGAAAACCTTAACTTAAACTTTAAATTGAATTTTTTATTAAAAGTCATAGACTTAGGAATAGTAAATGGTTCCTAGAAAATAGTGTATTTATAGAAGGAATTACTCTTTTGATTGGAATTTCATTTCTTTTTATTTTATTTCTGGGGTGTGTGTGTGTGTGTGTGTGTGTGTGTGTGTGTGTGTGTTCCACATATCTCTTCTATTTTAAAAGTGTTGATTTTACATGACAGGAAGTAATTGACAAATATACAGCTGTTGTAAAGATGATTGACTCTGGAGATAAGCTGAAACTTGACCAGACTCATTTAGAAACAGTAATTCCAGCACCAGGTAAATCTTTTTGCAGACTGTTTAATGCATATGCCATCAATATGAGTGATTCCATTCATTAACCCAGAGTTTTCTGACATTACTTGATAGTTATAGATACAGGGTTCCTTTTTAGAAATACTATATAACAGCCAATACATATAACTATATAATTGATGTTTTTTGACTTGGTGATATGATAGTTTGCCAGTTTCCTGAGAAAGCTTTTTGTATCATGAACAAGTTTTCCCTTCCTGGATTTTTTTTCCAGAAGCAAAACACAGACATATCTAGAGAGATTCAATCATATTAGAGTTATCTATATATAAAGCCTAAGTGACCAAATAACTGAATGACCTAACGACTAGTTGATTGGTCACTATGACATGCACTGACCACCAGGTGGCAGATGCTCAATGGGCACCAGATGCAGGGCTCATGGCTAGCGAGCTCTGCTTCAAGCCTCCAGATCCAGACTGACTGGGCGCAAGCCTGCAGCAGGCATAGCGGGGCCAGAATGAGCTGGAGCAGCAGGTGGTTAGACTGCCTGTTACAGCCCAAAACCTATAAGCCACACCAGGGGACCCCACCTGTGTACAAATTCATGCACCAGGCCTCTAGTTATTAATATATTTATTTAGCTACCTGAAATAGTAAAGTAAAAGTATGATTTTGCTTTTTTTTTTTTCTTTAATCTTTTTTTTCTATTGTTTCAAGTTTTATATATGTCTTCTTTTTCCCCAATTGACACCCACCCTCCCCCAGCTATTCCCACCCTGGGTAAGCCCCCTCCACCCCATTGTCTGTCTATTGGTTATGCTAATATGCATGCATACAAGTCCTTTCTTTAATGATCTTGATCATTTGGGTACTAACACACTGTCCAATATTAATGCGGTTTGGTCAGGTTGTTGCCTCTGATTTACTTCATGATAATATCATTGCTGGCACAGTGATCATGTTAGTCTCTAAAACTTCACTTATTCTTTCCCTATAAAATAAAAACTCATTAATAGATTAAAATTTTTTTCCTAGTAAACTGAACCTTTAGAAAGTGTACAATTTTGATATTTCTTAAGATATGAATACTCACATGAAACCATCCCTATAATCAAGATAATGTTTTATCACACCCCACTCCCATTTTTCTTTTTCCTTTGTAATCTACTCATTTCCTTTCACTTCTCTTGCCTCCCATCTCCCCCCAGGCAACCATCAATCTGTTGTTACTGCTTTTTATGTACCCATTCATCTGGTGATAGACATTTGGGTTATTTATAATTTTTTAAAATATATTTTGATTTTTTTTACAGAGAGGAAGGGAGAGAGTTAGAAATATTGATGAGTGAGAAACATCGATCAACTGCCTCTTGCACACACCTCCCACTGGGGATGTGCCCACAATCAAGGCATATGCCCTTGACTGGAACCGAACCCAGGACCCCTCAGTCCACAAGTCAAAACTCTATCCACTTAGACAAACCGGTTTTGGCTATTTATAATTTTTGATTGTTAAAAACAAAATCCTGTGGACGTTTGTATGGACTTATGATTGCTTTGGTTTAGTAATGTCGGGCATATATTTTAACTTTAATGTAACTGCCAAACCATCTTTAAAAAGAGATGAATTAAAGGAAACAATTTTTCTTGTAATTACTTACGGACTCTGAGCATTTCTTCCAAACACCTTATACACCATGCAGTCTAAAAATAAAAATATATCCCTTTGACAAATAAGTGACAAAAATGAGGAGTCATTATGTGATAGTAATTAAATTATCTACAAACTATACTTTAGAATATTATAGAGTTCTTAAATGATTAAGAACTTCTAAGGAAATGGTTTTATTTTTCGTTATGCTCATTTAGTGTAGTTGTATTTTGCTGTGACAAAAGTAGAAGAAAAAAGTGGACATTCTTTTTGCATTCAGTATTATATTCTTTTCTGTTGTAGGAAAAAGAATTCTTGTTTTAAATGGAGGCTACAGAGGAAATGAAGCTACCTTAGAATCCATCAATGAGAAGACATTTTCAGCTACTATAGTCATTGAAACTGTAAGTATGTTTACCAGACAGAAATTTCATAATGCTTTAAAAATGTGTCCTCGTTCTTTTTCATTGGATTGGTCTTTGTTTCATTTTCGAGTTTGGGGTTCTTCTTTACCTTCTCTCCAGTTTAGAAATCTGTAAGCTTATTTTCTCTAATGATTCTACCATTGATAAAGCATTCATTTTCTGATTCCCAAAGAAATGCCTATATGTTTAGTCCATTCTGCTGCTGTAACGAAATACCACAACTGGGTGGCTTATAAACAACAGAAATGTACTTCTCACAAGTCTTAAGGGCTAGAAGTCCAAGATTAAGGCACTGGTCAATTTTGTTGATATTTTAATGGGGAGTGCATTGAATCAATAGATTGCTTTAGGTAGTATGGACATTTTAATGCTGTTGATTCTACCAATCCATGAACATTGTATGTTCTTCCATTTATTTATTTCTTCCTCTATCTTTTCAATATCTTGTAGTCTTTTATGTCCTTATTTAAGTTTATTCCTAGGTATCTTAATTTTTTTGGTGCATTGGTAAATGGGATTGTTTTTTCATTTCTCTTTCTGTGAGTTCATTAATGGTGTATAAAAGGCCATAGGTTTCTGGGTGTCAATTTGATATGATTATGTGATTTTTGTCTCTCAATTTGTTTATACTTTGTGTCACGTTTATTGATTTGCGGATACTGTACCAACTTTGCATCACCAGAATTTCACTTAATCATGGTGTATGATTTTTCTAATGTATTGCTGAATGCAATTTGCTAGAATTTTGTTGAGGATTTTAGCATCTATGTTCATCAAGGATATTGGCCTGTAGTACTCTTTTTTTGTCTTTTATCTGGTTTTGGGATTAGTGTAATGTTGGCTCCATAGAAAGATCTTGGAAGTGTGCCTTCCTCTTGAATTTTTTGAAATAGTCTGAGTAGCATAGGTTTTAATTCTTCTTTCAGTGCTTCATAGAACTCCCCTGTAAAATCATCTGGACCAGTGCTTTGTCTGCTGGAAGATTTTTGATCGCTGTTTCAGTTTCATCGTTATCAGCCTATTCAGGTTTTTTGATTTTTTTTGGCAGAGTTTTGGGAGCTTATATTTTTTTAAGAATATGTCAATGCCAAAACCAGTTTGGCTTAGTGGATGGAGCATCAGCCTTCGGACTTCGGGGTTTTGGGTTCAATTCCGGTCAAGGGCATGTACCTTGGTTGCGGGCACATTCCCAGTAGGGGGTGTCCAGGAGACAGCTGGTCGATGTTTCTCATTGATGTTTCTAGCTCTCTATCCCTCTCCCTCTCTGTAAAAAAAAAAATCAGTAAAATATATTTAAAAAGAATATGTACATTACCTCTAGGTTGTCCATTTTATTGGAATAGAGTTGTCCATAGTATTTTTTTCATAATTATTAGTATTTCTGTGGGATTAGTTGTTACTTTACCTCTTTCATTTCTGATTTTTTTTATCTGGATCCTCTCTCTTTCTTGGTGACCCTGGCTAGAGGTTCATCAATCTTGTTTATCTTTTAAAAGAACCAGCTCTTGGTTTTGATGATCTTTTGTATTGTTTTTTGGCCTCTATTGTTTATCTCCTCTCTGATCTTTATTTCCTTCTGCTTATACTGGGGTTTTCTTGTTGCTCTTTTTCTAATTCTTTGAGTTGTAGGGTTAGATCATTTATTACCATTGTTTCATCTTCAATTTTGATTGATAGTCTGGCAGGGTACAGTATTCTAGAATTCAGACCCTTCCTTTGCATGCCTTTGTATATTTCATTCCATTTCCTTTTGGCCTGATGTGTTTCTGTTGAGAAATTAGTCACTAGTCTAATGGGGGATCATTTGTAGGTAACTTTCTATCTCTCTCTGGCCACTTTTAAGATTTTTACTTGGTCGTTGGTGTTTGCCAGTTGAAGTATAATATACCGTGGTGTCGGTCTTTTGGGGTTCATTTTTGGGACTCTGTGAGCTTCTTGGACTTGTGAGTTTTCTCTTCCCTATATCAGGGAAGTTTTGTCATTATTTCCTCAAACAGGTTTTCTATTCCTTGCTCAGTTTCTTCTCCTTCTTGCTCCCTATTATGTGGATGTTGTTTTGTTTCATTTTGTCCCAAAGTTTCCTTAGGCTCTCCTCCTATTTTTTAAATTTTGTTTCTAGATGCTGCTTTGCTTGGGTATTTTTTCCTACTTTCTCTTCTAGCTCACTGATTCGGTCCTCCACTTCTTTTAGTCTATTGGTGATGCTCTTTATTGCCATTATGTCATTTTTTATTTCTTAGTGGTTGTTCTTCATTTCCTCCTGATTCTTACAAATATTGTTGAATTTGTTTCCCAACCTTTTCAGCAATCTTATGACCATTTTTCTGAGTTCTTTCTCTGACATATTGCTTGCCTCCATTTCGTTTACTTCCTTTCCTGGTGATGCCTCCTTTTCTTTCATATGTGGGCTGTTTCTTTGTCTCCCAATGATCTCTCCTCCCTGGGTGCTCCTGCTCTCCTGCGTTGGCTTAAAGGCACAAAATACAACACAGCAAGGCACAATGTACAAGGCCCTGAACACAAATGTACTCACTATAACTAATAACCCCCAAAAAGGTGACCACTAGAGAAAAGTGAATTAAGGAATTAAAAAAAGAGAGGGTGCAAAAATGATATTGAGGAAAGGATAAAAGTAAGAGAGAAAAGAGAATAAAAAAGAAGGGGGGAAAACCTCAATAGAACAAGAACTAATCCAAAGAATTGCAAACAACTGACACCCAAAGGTGAATGCAAACTACAAACAACTAATAACAAGCGAGGAAAGGACAGAAGGAAAAAAAAGAGAGAAATAATCACACAAATAAACAAAAAGCAACAATCTAATGAGCAATCAAACAAACCACAATTGCACAGAGAGAAAAAACAGTAAAACCAAACAAAATAAAACAAAAAACATAAAAGAAAATAACAAAACAAAATAACAAACCAAAAAAAAAGGCAGAAAAAAACATATTTTTTTATAGTGAAGAAAAAGAAGAGAGAAGTGTGTATGGACTTAGAGTTGGGGATCAGAAATTAGATGTATAAGTAGAATGAATTCTTAACAGGGGTTAAAAAGAAAAATCTAAAGCAGGAATAGGGTAAGAGAAACAGGACAACAAAAGGGGAAAAATGAGGAAGATAGTGTTGGCATAAAGTTAAAGTCGAGATAGAGTAAAATGATGTTAAAGAAAAATGAAAATAGAATGTTGAACATTAATCCTACAATAAAATAAAACTTAAAAAAAAGGTAAAATAATAGTAGTAATGATACTGATTAAAAATAAAAATATATTTTTTTAATAAATCTTTATTCAGATTATTACAAATGTTCCTTTTTCCCCTCCCCCACAATTGCTCCTATCCACCAGGTTCCCACCCCACCTTATGCCCTTTCCCCACCCCCGATTGCCCTCATTCATAGGTGCACAGTTTTTTTGGGTTTTTTCCATTTTTAATTTTTTTTCTCATTTATAAATTTTTCTTTTTATGGACAAGTTTCTTAACTTTATTTTTATTTTTTAAAAGTAAACCTTTATTCATGTTATTACAAAAGTTCCTCATTTATTTTCCCCTCCATTGCTCCCACCTCACCATCTCCCCTTTCCCCACCCCCATTGTCCTCATCCATAGGTGCACAGTTTATGTTCAGTCTCTTCCCACATCCCCCTCTCCCCTTTTCCCCAAGAATCATCAGTTCACTCCCCTTCCATACTTCTGATTCTATTAGATTCAACAGTTAATATTGTTCATCAGATTTTTTTTTTTAATTTTCTTGGTTTTTAGATTCACTTGTTGATAGTTACGTATTTGTTGTTCATACTTTTTATCTTTATTTACTTTCTCTTCTGAATGAACCCCTTTCAGCAATTTATGTAATTCTGGTTTAGTGGTGATGAACTCCTTTAGCTTTTTTTTATTAGTGAAGTTCTTTATCTGACCTTCAATTCTGAGTGATAGCTTTGCTGGATAGATTATTTTTGCTGTAGGTTCTTACTATTCATCACCTTGAATATTTCTTGCCATTCCCGTCTGGCCTGCATGGTTTCTGTTGAGAAATAAGCTGACAGTCGTATAGGTACTCCTTTATAGGTAACTACCTGCTTTGCTCTTGCTGCTTTTAATAAGAGATAAAAGTCGGAGCTTTTATCTCTTTCCTGCTAGGGAACACCAGCCAGGCACTCAGCCTCCATCCTCTCCTGCTCCGTCCTTTCCACGCGCACGCCGCGTGTCTCCGTACTTTAGGCTTTTACAGCTCCTTCGCGCTTCCTTCTGGTTTTCTCTTTGCTTCTTGTTGTAGAATTTCCAGTCAGTCGACTTTCCTGTAGTTCTGGGTAATGTCCATTTTATATTTTAGTTGTATTTTATTGAAATTGTTGTGTACGGCTGCGGCTAGGTGTTTACCTGTGCAGCCATCTTGGATTCTCCCCTATTTCTGGAATCTTAATTTTTAGTGTCAGTTTTATAATATTTGAAACAATTATTATTTTTACATATTATGAATACTCCTACGCATTTTACATATAAATTAAGTAGATTTTAAAAATAGCTACAAAGTGTTCAAAAAAAAGGCCTCAGTCTTTTAACTGCCTAATCCAAATATCAGGCTTATTTTTATTACCCATCTTTGTAGTTCTTATCATAAAAAAAAACTAATTGATCATCAGTCTTTAAACTTGATTATGAAAGATTCAACCCAGGTCATCCTTTATATGGGAACTTATTTCCTTTAAATGCTATCATTATTATATATTAAAAGAATGGCATATTTTGAAGATTTTAGTCCTACCAGTTTCATTCAGTGGATAGAGCTTCAGCCTGTGGACTGAAGGATCCTGGGTTCAATTTCAGTCAAGGGCAATTTCAGCCTGGGTTGCAGGCTCAGTCCCCAGTAGTGAGTATGCAGGAGGCAGCCAATCAATGATTCTCTCTCATCACCTTTCTATCTCTCCCTCTCCTTTCCTCTCTGAAGGAAAGGAGAGGGAGAGATATATGTAATTTATATATACGTAATATAAATATTAAAGAAATTATATATATTATATGTAATTTCTTTGTTAAAGGGGAAGGCATAAGTCTCATTAAAAAGTGTTATAATTTCAGTCCAGGGTTGGAATCATCATTATTTCATGTTTTGCAAGGGAAGGGACCAACTTTTAATTTTGACCAACAGATGTAATAGTGAGTTGAAAATTATTGAGTTCATGCTCATGTTATGTTACAGACATTATCCTATGCATTTTATATGTATTGATCCATAGATATTTCCTAACAACATATAGGTACTGTTTTTACTCCCCTGGATAAAAGGCACAGAATGGTTTAGTCACTTGCTGAGGATAGGATTTGAACTTGGGCAGTCTGGGTTCAGAGTCCATAGTCTTAGTCTCTGTGTTCCCAGGTTGTGTCATTTTTTATGACTGGTACTTTCATTATCTAGTTTTCCCCTCCCACTTTTAGCTGGTTATGAAAAGAAGATGAAAATATACAAACCTGTTTGAGTATTTGTATTGCTTAAAATATTGATTTCTGCTATAAAATAAGCTACCTTCAAATTGACACTATTATAAAGTTTCACTTTTTATTCTAAAAGTCCAAAATAGTTTTTCTTGATCATGGAACAGCTCTTTTCTGAAGGGTGATGTATGAGCCACAACCCTTCTAACTTGTGACTTTACCATCTTCAGTAATTGGCTTTTTATAGTTGTGTTTGCTGCAGGCAGACCAAGGAAAGCATTGGATTGCAGGTGAAAAGTAGTATGGCCTGTGCCTGGCAATGGCAGGCATTCACTTCTGTGGGCTGGAGCTCCAACTTATGGCACACCTAACCACAGGGGGAGCTAGGACATCTCCCTATCCAGGAGGCAGATACGAAACAGCTAGCAGATGTTGCCACAGTATCTAGTGATACCATTTTTCAAGTGTCTTTGAAGAAAATTATGGTAGTTTTTTAATGAGAATGTCATAGAATGTTTTAAAAGTTTATAGACATACAGAAATGTTAGCTACTTTAATTGTATTTTAGGGAAATTGAAAAGGCAAATTTGTATTCCTTAGTGTAATGTCATCTTCATGTCTTTTAAATACATGTGTGTTTTTAACCTTTTCTTCAATTTTCATTTTTAGGGCCCTTTAAAAGGACGCAGAGTTGAAGGAATTCAATATGAAGATATTTCTAAACTTGCTTGAGTTTGAAAATTTGTGAACGTATTAAAATACTAAAGCATCAAATTGGTGTTCGCCAAGGCATTATGAGACTCTACTGTGTCAGGGTATTTCTTTTAAATACAACAAATGGATTTATGTAAATATTATTGTATAGTTGTTTAGCTAAACTTATAGGAAATCTAATTATGTCTTATGAAATATCAAACTATGTAAATTTGTTCTTATTTTTGTTTATAATATCTCTTTGATTTTTAAAATTTGCATTAAAATAATATTGTAAAGTGTTTGATATAAGGCAGTTTAGAATCATATAATTAGAGGAAATTCTTATATACTCTAAATTTATATTTTTAGTAGTAACGTTGAACTATAAACATAATTCATTTTAATAAGTCAAACTAAATATAATAGCTTTATTGAGATGTCATTCATACACCATACAATATCACCCACTTAAAGTGTACAATTTCAGTGGTATTTAGTATATTTACAGAGTTGTGCAACCATCACCACTCTCTAATTTTAGAACATTTTCATCACCCCCAAAAGAAATCCTGTACCCATAGTTACTCCCTATTCTCCCTCTTTTTCCAGCACCTCATCGCCCCTAGTCTACTTTCTGTTTCTAAGTTTGTGCCTGTTCTAGACATTTCATATAAATAGAATCACACAGTATGTGGTATTTTATGACTGGTTTCTTTCACGTAACATAATATTTATAAAGTTATTTGATATTGTGGCATGTTTCAGTACTTTACTCCTTTTTATTGCTGAACAGTATTCCAGGTATAGGATATACCACACTTTTTAAATACATTACCAGTTGGTGGACATTTCAGTTCTTTCTACTTTGGGGCTTTTATGGATAATCCTTTCTAATAAAGAGAAACATGCACATTGACCGTACCTTCGCTTCACCCACAAGCCACGCCCACCAGCCAATCAGGGTGAGTATGCAAATTAACCCAACTGACGTGTCAGTTAATTTGCATATTGAAGCCAGAGCAAAGAAAGAAGCCACGCACTGCAGAAGGGAGCAAAGCTGTGGAGAAGCAAGCAAGCAAGCGGGGTGGCAGAGAAGGCAGGGCAGGGAGAGGGGAGAGAAGCCGCTGGGGCATCGGAGAAGGAAGGGAAACAGGCGGGCTGGGGAGTAGGAAGAGAAGCAGGCCAGGCAGTGGAGACTCCAGCAGGAATCTTCCTGCAAGGGGCATCTCGTGCTTCTATATTTGTATATAAGATTCCATGTGAATATTTCAGCTCCTAGGAAGAGAGTTGCTGAGTAACATTGTAACTCAAGATACCATGCTGAACATTCAATGGAACTGCCAGACTATGTGCTAAAATGGCTATACCATTTTACAATTCCACTGACATGTTGAACTATACATTTTTAAATAAGTAGAGCAGTATGTTATGTAGGGATACAAAAAACTTGAAACGCACCCCACACTTGCTTATGTACCCAGAAAAAAGGAGAAAAGAAAATTCATAGTTCATACAACTGAAAAGGAATAGAACTTCACATGCAGTGGGGACTCAGTGTAAGGACAGGATCCCACTGGGTCTTTGGACTCACATCTGATTGCAATAAGGCTTAAGAAAAGATGCCACTTTTTATGATAATAAGTGATTCTTTGAAGCATGTAGAATGATTTGAAGAAGACGAGTAAGTACTAAAATAACGCCTGATTCATAGTTTATTTTTACCATACATTGAGGCACTCTTTAATTTCCCTTTGTAAAAAATATTTATTGTTCAGATTATTACAGTTGTTCCTCTTTTTCCCCCCATAACTCCCCTCCACCCAGTTTCTACCCCACCCCCTTTCCTTACCCTCCCCACTATCCTTAGCCATAGGTTTACAATTTTTGTCCATTCTCTTCCTGCACCCCCTTCACCTTCTTTCCCCCAAGAATTGTCAGTCCACTTCCTTTCTATGCCCCTGATTCTATTATATTCACCATTTTATTCTGTTTGCCAGATTTTTTTATTCACTTGCTTATAGATATATATTTGTTGTCACTTAGTTGTTCAACATTTTTATCTTTATCTTTTTTTCTTCTTCCTCTTTTTAAAGAATACCCTTCAGCATTTCATATGATATTGGTTTGGAGATGATGAACTCCTTTAGCTTTTTCTTTTCTTTTCTTTTCTTTTTTTTAATATATTTTATTGATTTTTTACAGAGAGGAAGGGAGAGGGATAGAGAGCTAGAAACATCGATGAGAGAGAAACATCAACCAGCTGCCTCTTGCACACCTCCTACTGGGGATATGCCAACAACCAATGTACATGCTCTGTGTCCAGAATCGAACCTGGGTCCTTTCAATCCACAGACCGACACTATCCACTGAGCCAAACCAGTGTTGGCTCCTTTAGCTTTTTCTTATCTATGAAGCTCTTTATATGACCTTCAATTCTAAATGATAGCTTTGCTGTGTAATCTTGGTTGTAGGTACTTGTTATTCATCACTTTGAATATTTCTTACCACTCCCTTCTGGCCTGCATAGTTTCTGTTGAGAAATCAGCTGACAGTCGTATGGGTGCTCCCGTGTAAGTAACTAACTGTTTTTCTCTTGCTGCTTTCAAGATTCTCTGTCTTTTGCTCTTGGCATTTTAATTATGGTGTGCCTTGGTGTGGTTCTCTTTAGATTCTTTTTTTTTTTTAAATCAATCTTTATTGTTCATATTATTAAAAAGGTTCCTCATTTCTTCCCCCCTCCACCAGATTCCCACCCCACCCTTCGCCCCCTCCCCATCCCCCATTGTCCTCATCCATAGGTGCACAGTTTATGTTCAGTCTCTTCTTCTCTCCCTTTCCCCGATAGTAAATCCCTTTTCAGATAGTAAATCAGTTACTTAGCATTTTCTCATATCAATAATACCTCCACATGCCCAATGATACACTTCACACAAAAGACATTTCCCAATAGGTAAACTAGCCTCATCCAGGCCCCACCCAAGGAACTCACAGATCAACACCCCAGCCCTATACTAACTCAACACATCCAGATCTAAGCCTTCATCACTTGATTCAGCAGACCCTCAAGTTCCCGCGAAAGTTTCCAGCCATGTCTGAGAGGCAGCCGTGGGGCAGGGGCAGGCGAGGAGCGAGCTGTTCCGAGCCTGGCTGCTCAGGGCCTGGCCTCTGTTGCTCTGGTTCGTTCCACAACAAGCTGCTCCGGGTCTGGTCACTGCCGCTCCCGACCCAGTTGCTCTAGACTTGGCTGCTGCTGCTCTGGGCCTGGCCGCTCCCAGCCTGGCAGCCGCTGCTCCGGGCCTGGCCACACTCGACCCGGCTGCTCCCCTGGGCCTGGCCGCTCCCAGTCTGGCAGCCGCTGCTCTGGGCCTGGCCGCACCCGACCCTGCTGCTCCAGGCCTGGCCGCTCCCGACCCGGCTGCTCCCCCGCGCCTGGCCGCTCCCAGCCTGGCAGCCGCTGCTCCGGGCCTGGCCGCACCCAACCCGGCTGCTCTGGGCCCGCCTGTCCCGGGCCCGGCCGCTCCGAGCCTGGCCACTCCCGGCCTGGATGCTCTGGGCTTGGCTACTGCTGTTTTGGGTCTGGCTGCTCCCACCCCGGCTGCTCTGGGCCCGGCTTCTCTGGGCCCTGCCACTCCGGGTCTGGGTGTTCCTGGACTGGCCACCCTGGGCTTGGCCGCCTCTGCCTCAGGCCTGGCTGCCACTGCCCAGGTCTGGCTGCTCCAGTGCTGGCTGTTGATGCTCTGGTTCTGGCTGCTGCTGCTCTGGGGCCTGGCCATTGCTGCCCCGGGCCTGGCTGCCACTGCCTTGTGCCTGGCCACTCTAGGCCTGGCCGCCACTGCTCCAACATTCTGTCCTTTTTTTTCTTTTTTCTTTTTAAAACGCATTTATGTTGCAATGTTGGCTGTTGAGTTGAGTTCTGACTTAGTCTTTGATTTTTCAAGAACTTCTTTGTATTCTTTCTTAAGTAATTTTACTATCTTTTGCTCTCACTTGATTTCTTCACATTGAGAACTTCTTTGGTTTCTTCCTCCTTGTGCTGGGAGCTCAGCAGGTTGGCCTGTGGCACCCCTTTGTTCTCCGCGGGCTCCTGCGCTGCTTCAGCCTGTTGCCGGGGACGGCGCCGCCCAGGAAGCAGCCCCCCCCCCCCCCCGGCCTTGGCTCCATTGCCCGCGCTCAGCGGTGGAAGGCTCAGGGGCACCCCCCCAGGGGCCCCGTCGCCCGGCTCCTTGCTGGTTCCCGGTTGGCCGGCGTCCGGCAGGGGCTCCTGCTCCCCGCCGCGTTCCCCCAGCCCGGAGCTTTTTTTCTCCTTCTCACTAGGGGAGTCCAGCATCAGAGTCAACAGACTGTCCTCTGTGCGCAGTGTGCGCGAGTCCGGGAGCCCGGCCTTTCGCCGCTCTCCCAGGACTCCACCTCACAGCCCCGTCTCCCTCTGCCTGAGTCCGGGTCCCCAGGGATTGGCCCAGAACTGGGGTTCGGAGCAGTCCGGACTGAGGCCCAGCTCTGCAGGAGGCCTTGTTTCTTCCGGCTAGGGTAACCCAGCATCAGAGTCAACATTCAGTCCTCTGCGCTCGCATTGCGCGCGACCCCGGGGGCCCTGCTTTTCGCTGCTTTTCCGCCTCACGGCCCGTCTCCTCCCACCGGAGCCTGGGTCCCCAGGGTCTGGCCCATAACTGGGGCTCAGCGCTGCCAGTTCGGGGGGCTCAGCGCTGCCGGTTCGGGGGTTCAGCCCAGGCTGGGGGTTTTATTTCCTTCCTGCTAGGGAAGGAAAGGCGGCTCCCCGCCCTCTCCTCCTCTCCGGCTGCGACCTCTCCGTGCGCGCACGCGCGTGCGGGCGGGCGCGCATCATGTCTCCATACCTTAGGCTTTTTTTTTCAGTTCCTCTGATTTTCCTTCTGGTTTTCTCTTTCCTTCTTGTTGTAGAATTTTCAGTCAGTCAACTACCTGTAGCTCTGGGCAATGACCACTCTACATCTTAGTTATATTCCATTGAAATTGTTGTGTGCTGCCGTGGCTAGATGTCTACCCGAGCAGCCATCTTG